AGCCCTTGTATGAGTATGAGGGGTGAGCCATAAAAACTGGCCCTCGCACTACGACCTTACAGGAATTAAAGTCAATGAAATATATACATGACAACAGTCGTAAACAATAATCGAAGTACGAAATATCAAGCTTTATCAAAATCTGTCAAAACACTCGGAAAATGTAATTAACCAGTCACTTAGGCCTTCCTTAGTTAAATCGAAAATTAGAATGATCATACTAAAAAGAAACCAAAAAGCTTCGACGAAGCTTCATCTATGGTTCTACAGTCCGGTCTAGCACACCGAAATTAACTGCCGTGGGGGTCCGTTGCGCTGACCACGAGACACCCACTATCCGCTAAAGTTGGCACTAAATTCGCCGACAAGCGGCGGTGGCTAGGTCGGTATATTTCGCTTTCGGACTAAAACCAAGGCTTTTTTGCTTGTTTTATGGCTCTACAGCCCTTTGTTGGCCTCTTCTTCAGTTTCGTAATCCTTTTACACAGACCACAGGACCCCCTTGGTCGAGTGATCAGCACGTCGCAAGGCCACTACCCACACACAAAATACAAATACAGAATAAAAGCACACAATGGGCATCCAAGCCCCGAGTGGGGTTCGAACCCACGATCCCAGTGTTCGATCGAGAGAAGACCCTAGACCACAAGGCCACTTTAATCGGCTACAGTCACTATCATAGGAAAATAGAAATCCTTCTGTCGAGAAGTGAGCAGTTTCCGTGGTTCAAATATCCTATTCGCAGCATGGAAATGGTTAAATTATAGGCGAAGGAGTAAAAAGTAGCATTGTTTAAATAATTATTTAGAATTATGAACGTGACAGAACGCGTTTGCTAATTTTCAGCTGACAGAGAAAGTGGAAAACTATCTTGAATTCCTTATCTCTCCGTTGTGAGTACATGACTAGCACTTTCGGAGGCTTCCTTTAACGGAAGCTCCTATTTTTAGGCAGCTCTGCGGTGCGCCATTTACGATCTCTCCAGGAAACAACTGGAGAGCCGCTGAATGGACTTACATCAAACTTGATATCGGGGAGCTTAACTAGACTTCATCGACTCGTTCCAGTTTTGGTTAACATCAGACAAAAATAATGGACACACTACACGAAGAATTGCATGCTTTTCCACACGCAGTAGCGCTTACTCTCACATAACTCACTAAATATTTATCCGAACGAAAACTGTTTAGAACCAGAGTTGTAGACAGAGGGGTTCATATCCCGATGAGGTCATTGAATTTTTTCAATTGACCTAATCCTTCCGTCCGAACTAGGCCCTGGGGTTTACTCAGCCTCTAACAGAAATGAGTACCAGGAATTAATTAAATAATTTTCCTGGGGTGTAAATGGCGGCCGGAGCATAAGACTGACAACCTTACCGCCATCTTTGAGCCGATTGTCTAGATAATGTGGGACCCTCAACGTCTCACAACCCTATGGGTCCTACGCGGCCTGGTACAGGGATAGCTTTACTTTTTTTTTTACTTTTTTTGTAGACAGAGATCACATGCATTTTGTGCTCTACACACCTTCGAGTAAGTTATCGTACACGCCACGATCGTCACGATATGCATGCAAATATGGCTACGTTTGCTGTCTTGTTGTGCAGACAACAGAGCTGACCAGAACTGTGCAGAACTGAAACAATCATACTGTGACATCTATGTACTTAAAAATAAAGTTCAATATAAGTTTACGGCTTTAATAATCACATTATTAGACTTTTCTTAATAAATGTGCCCGCCTCTGTGGTCTAGCGGTCAGAGTTCCTGGCTACAGAACAAAGGTCCCGGGTTCGATTCCAGGCGTTATAAGATTTTCTGAGAAGTAGTGGGTCTGGAACGGGGTCCACTCAGCCTCATGAGGATAACTGAGGAGCTACTTGAATGGAATAGTAGCGGCTCCGGTCTATAAAAACGAAATAAAAGAGCAGGTCTATGTGCTTCATGTTTCTTGAGTAGCCATATTGTAAACCAGTAATTGAGTTCAGTGAATAATAAATGAGACTTACATTTGGAAGAAACGCGGATTGAATGAAGAGATAGCTGATCTGTTCGAGGGTTAAACAGTACGATATTTTATAGTTCATTTGAGGTTCTCACAACGGTGACTATGAAATATACTAGCCTCAGTGATGTGGTGCCGTGTAGTCTAGTAGAATTTCACTGATGTTTAGGAGGAATGTGGTGTCTCCATCTACAGGGTCTCAGAGTATGTCAGGCAAGCAAACATCAAGAAGCAAGCTGCACATTAAAAAAACTTGCTCCAGTTTCTACACAACACTCCCACAGTTTCGTATTTACTTCTGTTTCACTGCTTGCTAGGCTCATTCTTCTACCCTCATGATGGAGAGAGTATGTTCTTCCGAAAGGTCACTGAACTTCTACCAGAATACACGATTTCACACCCCAGAAGACAGCAGTCTTCAATGTTTTGTTGTCCCCTTGTTTGTTTATTTATTCCTCCCTTCATAAATAAATAAATAAGCAAAGAGACAAGAAAACATTGAAGACTGCTGTCTTCTGGGGGGTGAAGTTATGTACAAGTACAAGTACTGTCTCCATGTATTTGTTCATCTATGAAAAAATGGAAGTACAATGAGACAGTACATCAGCTCTTCATAGACTTCAAGATAGTCTATGATTCAGTTACAAGGGAAGTATTGTACAATGTTCTCATAGAGTTTGGGGTACCCATGAAACTAGTTAGGCTGATTAAAATGTGTTTAAATGAAACATATAGTAAACTCTGTATAGGTAAACATTTGTCTTATAATTTTCCTAACAAGAATGGTCTAGAACATGGAGATGCTTTATCGCCACTACTTTCCAACTTTGCTTTAGAATATGCCATTAGGAAGGTCCAAGAAAACCAGGTGGGACTGAAATTAAATGGGACACATCAGCTGCTGGTATACGCTCGTGATGTGAATCTACTGGGTGATATCATAAAGAAAAACACAGAAACTTTAATTGATGCTACTAAGAAGGTTGATCTAGAAGTAAACACAGTGAAAACTAAGTATATGTTTCTGTCCCCTCACCAGAATGCAGGTAAAAAATCATGAAATAAAGATAGTTAGCAGACGTTTTGAAAATGCGGCACATTTCAGATATTTTGGAACAACTGAATTAAATGAAAACTTGATTCATGAGGAAATTAAGAGAAGAGTGAATTCCAGGAGTGCCTGCTACAGTTCAGTCCAGAAACTTTTGTCTTCTTGTCTGCTGTCTAAAAACATAAAAATTAGAATATTCAAAACCATAATTTTGCCTGTGGTTCTGCATAGGTGTGAAACTTGATCTCTGATATTAAAGGAGGAACACAGACTGAGGGTGTTTGAGAACAGGGTGTTGAGGAGAATATTTGGACCAAAGAGTGATGAAGTGATAGGAGGCTGGAAAAAACTGCACAATGAGGAGTTTCATAACTTGTACACGTAGCAAAGTATAATTAGAATGAACAAGTCAAGGGGGATGAAATTGGCAGGGCATGTAACCTGAATGGGGAGAAGAGGACTACATTTAGGATACTAGTGGGATAGCCAGATGGAAAGAGACCACTGGGAAGACCAAGACATAGGTGGGTGGACAATATTAAAATTGATCTTAGAGAGATAAGATGGGATGATGTGGACTGGATTGATGTGGCTCAGGATAGGGACCAGTGGAGGCCTCTTGTGGACACGGTAGTAAACATTCAAGTTCCACTAAATGCTGGGAAGTTCTTGAGTAGCTGTACAATTGGAAGCTTCTCAAGAAGGGCTCGGTTCCATGAAGTTTGTTAGTTAGTTAGTTAGTTACAAACGTGCCTCTTCGTCCAATCTGCCTGCCTGGCTATCTACCTAACTGCCTACCCACCCAGACACCTATTTATCTATCTATCTATCTATCTATCTATCTATTTATCTATCTATTAATCTATCTATCATATCTTAAAACCCTATGCATCAACGAGGGCTTATGGGCCTGGTTACTTCTAGGTCTGTATGTGTTACACATACCTGGATAAAACTGTATAACTGGGCCACTTCTCTCCACAGTGCTTGGGCTAGGAGCTTGAAAGATGGCTATACGACTCGCCCGTCCCATTCCCTCATTCTTGTACCAACACTTTTAGTATTAACGACTAAACTTTCATTACCACTAAACTCAGCAATATATCACTGCATACTTCGATTAAAAAGTGATGCATACACACGTGTAACATTAGAAGAGAAATGTGATTGTATTGGTATGCATTACTGATATTATGCACAAAAAGAAAACACAACTTGAACGGAGAGAGTAGACCACGCGGAATGTTTTCCAATACGAACAACACGATCAAACAAAGATCGCGCCATTTTTGTGGCATACCTGAATAACGTCACAATTGTGCGAGAGCTGAACAGCGTAGTACATTGTGTGTGAGGTAGTAATAATTTCGTGCTTCAATAATTAATTCCAATACCCACTCTCTGTTTTTAAATATTGGGACTGTTTTACCTTAATGTTCATTGATTCCAATTTTCTTGAATCCCTTTGAACGCACGCGATTTGAGGTTCTGCCGGCGGTGACTACGAAGGGAATTATTATCCGGAATGTGAAGCACTGTGTTGTGGTAGCAGCTTTTGCCGACTTTCGGAGGAACGTACTGTTTGACCCTGATGACGGAGGCGGTATGTTCCTTCGAATCATTAGAAAATATTCACCAGACCATACAACATCATGTCACTGAAGCTAATAATTTTCCACTTGAACATTATTAATGGGAATGACAGTTTTACCTTCGATACGCATGAAGGGTATTAGTTATCTGCAATGTTGGCTATTGTTCCAACCCTTGAAGGATTGTTATTAATTTTGAATTCTTTGAGGCAGGAGGGATCTATAAACATTCGAACTTATCGCATAAGGAAGTATGAGCTGGACAAATGCATACCATTTATACATTTTGGAATTATAAAATTATGAGGAATTATGTTCGAGTGCGAAACATTCGAAACACATGTTGCTGTTATTCAGATAGTCCGCGCATCTGGTTGCAAATGTTTCGTTTATAGCTTCACGTTCACAATAACAGAAGTGTCAGCTGATAGGTTTTGGGTTGTTTATCAAATTGCAAGATAAACGTATTGTTCTGTAAAGACGCTGATATAACAGTCATACATTTAAGTTGTACAGAGATATAATTCTTTCGTCTCCCTAAGTTCCCAGAATAGTGTTTTTTTTTTTTACTGAGTGTTTCGTAAGTTAAAGGAGAAGAAACATCATCTTGACATTTTAAAACCAATGTTTCAGTTTTGATCAGCAGTTACTTTATAATACTGGAGAAGGAATTCGGACAGCTGCAGTAAGATTTTAACGTGTGGCTGAATTATAGTATTTTATATCGTTTGTGTCGCGCAAGGAAAAAGGGTAAAGAAAATGTTAACGATTTCCAACTTCAAATATAAATTTGTAAACAAATAGCTGTTGTGTATATTTCTTGTGCATACAGTAAGGAAAATTAAACTATCTTTTTAATTAAGTACATTTAATAGGTTCCATCTTTTAGCTTCTAGAAAAGGGAAATAAAAAGTGTAAAGTCTTTTAAAAGCTAGTTCAGATTCCAGGCAAGAAACTTGAAAACAAGGAAATAGTACACCCGCGTGTTAATGTTATCCTCGTGTCTGTGTCTTGGCTCCCAAATGGTCTGTTATGAAAGGTTTTTCTAACCGTGATTTTATATGCATTTTTTTTTCACTTGAACATTGCATGGCCATCCAGTTACAGTATTCTTCATTTTAAATAAAACATGCCCAGAAATGTGCAAAAATTGTATCAATGTTTATGGTAATAATCACATATGTAGACAAGATTAATAGGTTGCAGCTTTCAGTCACCCTGTGTGATTTCTACAAAGTTCGTACTTGAATGCCACAGAAGTTTCATAATGAGTCTTCACTGATTCTGGCCTGACACCTTCGTATTACCATAGTATTTGATTTGTAACATAATTGTTATATGAAATGTTTTTATAGGATGGCTACTGGCAGTTCTGCCAATGAGCTTTACAGTTCCACTGTATCAAGATTAAGTAACATCAGAATGGAGGAAAATGCTCAGAATCAAAATCCTGGACAGCTTTTATCAATTGATACGGTGCCTCAGAACATGTTGCCTTCTAATGCTCCCAATAATCATCAGAGCAATCTGCACTCTTCGGGACTGGAAAGGGAAGGAGTGTCAGGAAATGGCAGTCATTCCCACGCCAGTAGGCGGCAGGGTAGTAACAGTTCTGTTGGATCCAACTCAGCTTCTTCCAGTCAGTCTTCGAGTTCAACACAAAGCCATCACTCAAACAGTCATCCAGTATACAATTGGCAGGCAACCAAAACGACTGTCAAGGAACGCTTTGCTTTCATGTTTAACAATGAGATACTGTGTGATGTTCACTTTATAGTAGGCCGTGACATTCAGCAGCAACGTATTCCAGCACACAAGTTTGTGCTGTCAGTTGGTAGTGCTGTATTTGATGCCATGTTTAATGGAACATTAGCTACCAGAGCTGATGAGATAGAACTTCCAGATGTCGAGCCCGCAGCATTTCTTGCTCTGCTCAGGTAATTTGAAGAGTAGAAATAAAGCACCACTGATATGCATGATATTTTGTCACTTCTTAGCATGCTGTCATTTTATAAGGCAGGCTAGGCTTACGATATATCTTGTCCCCAGTAACAAACTTGAAACTTCTGTGAATATTATGCCATGGGAGGGGGGAGCACATCTTCGTACATTTTTAGTTTTCAACTGCCAGTAGTGTAACTGTGTTGTGACACACCTTTTAATATGCAGTCCTGAAATATTATTCTGAGGTACTCATAGATCATACAGAAATATGTAATATTAAAGTAATTTAGGCAGACCATTCAAAATTGGTATTTCAAATTTGGTAGGATAGCAGTGCAGGTAGGAAGCTGGGACAACGTAGTGAGTATGGCGACTGGCTATGGACTGGATGATCGAGAGGTTGGAGTTCTGAGTCCTGGCAGGGTCAAGAATTTTCTCTTCACCATGTCATCCAGACTGGCTCTGGTGTTCGTCCAACCTCCTAGCCAATGGGTATCGGTGGCTCTTTCCCTGGGGTAAAGCAGCAGGGGCGTAAAGTTGACCACGCACCTGTAGTAAGTGCTGAGGTCAAAAAATGTGGATCTATACATCCTCTACCCATACATCTTCATGGCATAGTGCTTGATTAGTTGAGCACAGGAAGAACTTTACATTTTACCTTTGCCTGTGCAGCAAGGAATTTGAAATATAGTAATGTAACATGGGTTATAGCTATATCTACAATTTGTATATCATCATCATCAGTAATCTGTCAAGACGACAGGTCCACAGTCTCTTCCAAAACAATTCCTCCACTTAATGCGATCTAGAGCTTTCTCCTTCAAATGACAGTATCCTCTTCTGTCCCCAAGGTCATCCAGCATCTTCTTATATATTTGTATATATGAAAATTAAAGTATAAGTTTCTTCCTACTCTGACTACCAGATGACAGCATTTAAAGGAAGTTAGGTGTCATGATCCCTTATATATATGTATATATAAGTCAAAAGCTGGTATAACTCAGTTGGTATAGTGACTAGGTTATGAGCTGAATGGCTGAGGAACTGAGGTTCAATTCCCAACAGGGATAAGAGATTTTCTCTTCTCCACAGCATCCTGATTGGCTCTCACATTCACCCATTCACCCAGCCTCCTATTCAGTGGGTACTGGGTTCTGTTTTCCCAAGGGTAAAGTGGATGGGGTATGAAGCTGACCACTCACCTCTGTATGTTGCCGAGATTAAGAATACATACATTTTCAGGGCATGGTGCTTAAGTAATTAATTCCAGGGGCAGCTTTATATACAGATCAGTTTTTGTTGTGGTTTGCAAGATATTTGGTGCTGTATTCATTGTGACACAGGAAGAAAATTTGTTATATTGCAGACAATGAATGAGGAATTATGCACATATTCTGTCCATAAAATCTTTGTTCTTGCCATTATTTTAGGGCAGCTATTGAAAAAGATGAACTGTAATATTAAGTTGATATAGCTGAAGTGTGATATTCATATGTAAGACTTAGAATGAAGTGGTTTATTCCTATAAACTTGTGCTTGAAGTTTCCTAAGGGGTATAAATCACATGCACCCACTGCCATCTGCTCATCTTCTTTCTTTGGATACAGTCTGTAGAGTTTTCATTGTGCCCCAGTTCACTGCTGGAGATACTATGTGCAGTTTCTCTCTTGTCCATGTAATTGTTGTATGAAGGGCTCCAAATTATTTTCTGTTGTAAACACTTTTTATGATGATCAATACAAGGTTTCCCCCTTACTTTTTTGTACCTATGGTAGAGTAATTTATATATTTGTAATGTGCTGAGTGGGGCACGTGGTAGCGTAGTATTGTAAGACACTATGCTACAAGATGGAAGATCGCAGAATCAAATTCCAATGAGGTCACTGGAATTTTTTCAAATTACCTAATCCTTTCAGCCGCACTATGGCCCTGGGGTCGACTTGGCCTATAACAGTAATGAGTACCAGGAATATTCTTGGAATGTTCTTGGAGGTAAAGGGCAGCTGGCATGTAAGGTTGACAACCTTACCACCATCTGTGAGTCAATTGTCTAGAAAATGTGGGAGCCTCAACATCTCACAACTCTATGGGCGTCCACGGCCTGTTACAGGGATACCTTACTGTTTACTTTACTAATGTGCTCAGCTGCTGATATTCTGTACACCACAGCAGAGATAAAAATGTCACTGTCTCTGTGATTAATTGCCCTAATACCTATAATTATTTCTGTAATTTAAATATTATTATATGTTTCATGGCTCATTCAGTGTGTTCGTAAATGGAGAAGGGTTAATTAGCACCTTGATTTTGCCATGATTATATCTTAACAATTTCATAAAATTTTTCTATTCCTGATCAAATATGCTCCACAGGTTTCTGTACTCAGATGAAGTTCAAATTGGACCAGAAACCGTGATGACCACTTTGTATACAGCAAAGAAATATGCAGTACCAGCACTTGAGAAGCACTGTGTTGATTTTCTCAAGAGTAACTTGGGTAGTGATAATGCATTCATGTTGCTTACCCAGGCAAGGTTATTTGACGAGCCACAGCTTGCTGCTCTGTGCCTTGAAATGATTGATAAAAATACGACAGAGGCTCTTGGGGCAGATGGGTTCACAGATATTGATCTGGACACATTGAATGCTGTTTTGGAGAGAGATACTCTGAGGATACGCGAGGCCAAACTTTTCCAGGCAGTAGTCAGGTATGGCTCAGATACAAGGTCCTTCAGAAAGAGTAAAGTATTTTTAATTGGAATAACATATTACAGATCAAGTTATTTTGTTTTTAACATATATTTTTTAGGTATATATATTCTGATATTCTTCTTACACAATTTCATCACGTGTAAAGTACATCGTTTAAAAGACCATCATTTTGTGGAATACATTGATGCACATCATTTTAGATCTGCTTCATTTCCCAAGATGGTTCTACTTAAATGCGGGCAATTTTTCTTCACATTCTTGCACTTAGCTCATCTAAGTCTGCTGGCTGACTGTCGTACACTTTACCTCTTAAGTGTCTCCAGAGAAATAGTCTGGAAGGGATAGGTCTGGTGAACAGGGAGGCCAGGGCACATGATGATATAATTTTTTCTTGTCAAATGAACAGCTCTGTAGCATACACGTGCTCCCTCATTGTCAATGATAAAGTGAACTGCAAAATCACACTCATAGATCTGTCACATTTCTTTCCAGAGAAATGCATAATTAAACTTTTAAAATTCTTCAGTGTTTCTGCCACCCCCTGTAAATTAAAATGTCTTGGAAGTCAAATAAACAGTAAAAGAAAAGTTATTAGTTATCCTTAGTAGGTGGACCTAATATGATGCAGTAGATTTCTAGTCACCCTCCGAGATCAATAGATAACGGTATGTTTATGTTATAGTTTCCATGGTTTTCTGAGCTATCCATATTCTTGCGTGCTGGCACCGTGTTGTGGCAGAAGAAACCATAGTTGGTTTTGTTCCAGCAGTCTGATTCATCTCCCTTCAAGATAAACATAGTAACCTTGGAAAATAATTTCATGAACACTGTTCCCTCTTGGTCTACAAAACTGCTTCGTGCACTCAGAACATCTCACATTTGCAATTTTATTTAAGGAGATTATCTCCTTAATCAAAATCGTTAAAGCCACAGTTGAAAAACTCAGACCTTTGAAGGCCCCTGCTTTTGGATCTGGAGTGTCCATATTCACTGGGCACTGGTCCATGACAAATTGTTAAATAAGGACAAAGTGTGTCCAACTGTGCAGGCACCAGTGGAGTGCACATCCGTGCTTACACATACAAACATAGCAGTACAAATATTACTTTTTTGTATTCAGGGTGTGCAAAATGTAGAAATCTAAAGATCAGTTTTTTCCACCATTCCACCTTTTTTTTTTATTCGCTTAGTGGGGAGTGGAGTCCAACTGGGTCCACTTGGCACGGCAGTAACTTATTGGCCTAATTTAGCCTGCCCCGGGTGATTATGATGATGGAGAATTTGGTGGAATGAAGATTGGCAAGGGAAACCGAAGTACTCAGAGAAAACCCGCCCCAGCACCACTTTGTCCACCACAAATCCCACTTGACGAGACCCGGGGCGCCGCGGTGTGAAGCCAGAGACTAACTGCTTGAGCTATGTCACGGCCTCACCATTCCACTTCACTTTCTCATATGTACTACATATGAGAAAGTAAAAGTGTGTTTATTGTCATTTCATTGAAGTGTCCAATATGTTGACAAAGCAGCCTCCCACAACTCATCGTACAAAAAAGAATACAGAATTGAAAGTAGCCCAGGTCTGTGAGTTGTACTGATAATTTTAAGCATTAAACTCCCATGTTTTTGTGCAGGTGGTCAGAAGCAGAATGCAGTAGGCAACAGTTGCCAGCAACTCCTGAGAACAAGCGTTCAGTTCTGGGAAGGGCATTGTCACTGGTGCGGTTCCCACTTATGTCAGTGGAAGAGTTTGCAGTAGGTGCAGCACAGTCAGGTCTTCTGAGTGACAGAGAGGTTGTCTCACTCTTCCTGTATTTCACAGTAAATCCTAAACCAGCCGTTGGTTTCCTTGAGGTTCCTCGCTGTTGTATGACAGGAAAGGAGCAGACTGTGAACAGATTCCAGCAGATCGAAAGTCGATGGGGATACAGCGGCACCAGTGATCGAATTCGGTATGTTAGTATTAAATAAAAATGTATGTACTGCTTTCCAGCCATTGTGCTTACAATACAAGTACTGTTGTTACTAGGACATGAAAAAGTATGTTCACATGTCAGAAGTAAACACAGCTTTCTTAATGGTTTTGAGATCTGAGTATTTTTACTTACCACTTGTAAGTAAAGTTGTCCATGTGCTTAAATAATTAAGCACTACACCATGAATGCATATAGGGAAGTAGATGTATAGATCCACATTCTCTTGACCTTGGCACTAGTTGGAGGTGAGTGGTTGGCTTAATGGGCCGGCCACTTTACCCCCGGGAAAAGAGCCCCCAGTTCTCATTGGATAGGAGGTTGGGTGAGCCCCAAATCCAGTCTGGACAATGTGGAGAACAGAAAATTCTTGACCCTACCAGGAATCAAACTCCGACCCCTCGGTCGTCCAGCCCTTAGCCAGTTGCTATACCGACTATGCTATCCCGGCTGTGCTTGTGTGTTTTTACTTACCACTACATTGAGAAACTAGGAAGGTAAAGTTAAAGTTGTTCTTGTGCTTAATCAATCAAGCACCATGCCATGATGACATATGGGGAATGCAAGTGTAGCTCTAACAGTCTTAACCTTCACACCCTAGCTGCTTTGCCCACAGGTAAGGAGTCCCTTGTACCGAATGTATAGAAAGAAGTAAGGATACTTTTGGAAATAAATACAGCATGTTCACGCCTCACGAACAAATAAAGAGTAAAATAAAAAATAAGAATAACTGGAAAATCTGTGTAAATGTGCCAAGAGTTGCAAGTATTTGGAGACAATAACAAATTGAAAAGATGTTTTTGATTAAATTAAGAACAATCTTGCATCTTTCTATGTCCTCTCTAAATACCTGAAGATTAAAATATATAAAACTACAGCTTTACCTGTTGTTTTGTATAGTTTTGGAATGTCTCAAATGCAGTGGCAGGGATATACAGAGTGTATAACAAGTCAGTGCCTGTCTTTAAACAGATGTGGACATTTTATTTTTTTTAACTGATTTTAATGAATCAAAACTGTGAATGATAGGTTACATAAGGTTGTATGTGCAGCACTTTAAATTTTCCACAGACATTGCAGTACAAGCACATTTCCTTAATTTCTCTGGCAAATTCTCTATTGGTATGAACATAAGTTATTCTTTCCTCCAGTTCTTCTATGTCGTTTGGTCTTATATGATAAACTTCTTCCTTGACCTGTAGCCCCAAGAAAAAATCACAACACATTAAGTCTGGGCAGGTGATGTAAGCAATGACTTATACATCCTGTATTTTTTTTTATTGCTAGTGGGGTGGGACTAAGTCCCTTGTACTGTGGCCACTTCTGGCCCATTTTACCAGCCCCAGATGATAGGTGAGGGTGATTGTGGAGCAATGGGTGGAATGAAGATTGGCAGGGGAAACTGAAGTACTCGGAGAAAACCTGCCCCAGCGCCACTTTCTTCGCCACAAATCCCACTTGACCAGACCCGGGATCGAACCCAAGCCGCCACGGTGGGAATCCAGTGACTAACCACTTGAGCTGTGGCATGGCCAAAAAAAAAATATACATCCTGTAAGTAGAGGTATATGGTTTTGACTCCAAGATAGATTGTGTAACAAGAAGTTGGAAGAATTGCACAATGAGAACCTGTGATTTTCACATAATATTATTTAAAGTGAATAAATCAGGAAGGATGAGATGAGCAGAGCATGTACCTCACAAGTGAAGTGAGATATACCATGTTATATTTTAGCGTCCTGTTGCACCATGATTTATTCTGACCGTCTTACAGTGCATACATATATTCACCTTACTCTTCTCTCTTGCACTACATATTTCAGCACTAAAGTGCCATCTTCAGGTGCTTTTCGATGTACGTCGAACTACTTCATTGCATGCCCTGTTGTCTTTATACTAAAATAACTAAAATATATATTCGTCATATATATTGATAATTTTTAATATTTAAAATTTATCAATATATATGACGAATATATATTTTAGTTATTTTAGTATAAAGACAACAGGGCATGCAATGAAGTAGTTCGACGTACATCGAAAAGCACCTGAAGATGGCACTTGAGTGCTGAAATATGTAGTGCAAGAGAGAAGAGTAAGGTGAATAAATGTATGCACTGTAAGACGGTCAGAATAAATCATGGAGATATACCATTTTCTTGATTGAAAAATTCTCAAATTAATATATCACTTGAAAGACCTATGCAAAGATGGGAAAAATAACAGATCCTGGGGGATGACAATAGGGAATTTCTTTACCAACTGGATTATAATTTGCAAAGTAATTTGTGAAATTTATTTTTACCAGATTCATTGTGGATCGCCGCATTTTTGTAGTAGGCTTCGGTCTGTATGGCTCAATACATGGCCCAACAGAGTATGATGTGACCTTACAAGTAATCCACACTGCTTCTGGGATGGTCTGTGGTTCGAACAACACAAGTTTCAGTTGTGATGGCTCAAACTATACCTTCCGGGTGATGTTTAAGGAACCTGTAGAAATCCATCCCAATACAAGTTACACAGCATCTGCTACACTCAAGGTTAGAATTTTCTGTCCAGTTAATCTTGGTATGTCACAAAGAAGTTATATGCTCAAACCTGTATATCTACAGAATTGTCACTAGGTATGTGAATTTTGTGATATATAGTTATTATTGTTATGGCTTATGCCACCAATTATCTGACTGTCCCAGCCTCAGCAGTTTTACTTATTTTTGAGGTTAGAGTGTCTTTGATAATAGGGTGGTGACTCCTGATGTTCGGATGAATGTAGATCACATGTTGCTATTATCACTAGGCACATAATACAGGGGGTGGACAAAATAATGGAAAGATTAAGAAACTGTAGAATAGAATTTGTGTTGGCTTAATTGAATGTTCTTCCATTTATTTATTCTCTGTAATGCTTGTGTAAATGCATTAGTGATTGTGTTGAGTGACAGTCCACGTGAAAGAATCAGAAAATGGGAGACTTTTCCAAATATTGAAGAGAACAGATCAATTGTGCATGTTTAGCTGGAGCATCTGTGACAAAAACTGCCCTATTATGAAGTGTATCAAGAGCGACAGTTTCTAAGGTTATGTTGGCATTTATGAATCATGGGAAGACAACACTGGCAAAGAGGAACTGTAAGTGAAAATCAACAATGACGGAAAGAGATGGTGCCACATTGAGGACTGTTTAAAAAAATCACAGAACTACTGCAGCACAGGTGATAGCAGAACTGAATATGTATTCATCTTGAAGACCCTGTTTCCACAAAAACTGTCTGACATGTGCTTTACAAATCTAACATCCATGGTAGGGCTGCAATTGTTAATCCTCTGATTACTGAAAGTAATGCTTAGATGTGTAAATGATGGTATGTCAACCATAAAACCTGAACATCAGATTTGGAAACGTGCATGCGATGTGGTTAGATGAGTCGTCCTTCATGCTGTATGTCACCATTCACACAGCTGGAACTGTACAGTCATGGTTTGAGGAGCATGTAGGTGAACTTCAACATCTTCCCTGGCCAGCATAATTACCAGATTTTAACATCATTGAACCACTCTGGTCAGTTTTGGAGAGTAGAGTGAGGAACAGATTCCCACCTTCAGTGTCTCTAAAGCAACTTGAAGATGTTCTTCAAGAAGGATGGTAAAAAATTCCATTAGAGACTATTCAAAACTTGTACTAGTCCATTCCAAGGAGGATTGTGGCTGTATTGAAGACAGAAGGTGGTCCAACCCCTGTATCTTATTTATTCAGTGATTAAAAAAAAATAAACTAGGGAATTCTAAAATGTTTAGTTCTTATATTTTGAATAATATGGATTGTATAATTTATTAAAATAATGAATGCAGATAGGTGTCTTTCTCGAAATTGAGACCATGCTATATTCCAGATGTCTTAGATTCCAGTTAATCCTCTTGTGTAATCCCACCTACACCTGGTCCAACTACATACGCATTGAACAACATAATTTTCATTCCAGGTGTATGATTGGTTGATTTCATATATAAAATTAGACTTAATGTCAATGGCTACTTACCATAACTTTCAGATAGATTAGCAAGCTACAACTTTCTGTTCAGCTGTCTATCTCCTGTTTCAGACACCAGTATTATGGACACTAGACTTTTGTAAAACTTGATATGATGCCCATCTTTAGGTTCTTCATAAAAATAGAAAATAATCTAGCAACCACATGATGAGTTGATATATCATTGAAATTTGGGAGTAAAATTCCTATGGCATTATATTAGCTCAACATATGAAATTATACATTTCTTTAAAAGTGACTAAATAATGTCAGAAAATAAATTTCCAAATAAAACAATGTTAAATTTTAGGAAATAAATTACAGATTGTAATATTTTTTTATGACCAAGAATCTCTGAACCCTCAGTCTGAAGTATGCAGTGCCAGTGGTGAGTGCAGCAGTACTTACATGGATATTACAGTAATGACATTCATGACGTAGGTGTTAAGGTGTAAGAAGTAAAAGTACATTTAGTATTGAATTTATGTTCTGCTTTTCAGGGACCTGATTCACATTATGGAACTAAAGGTCTCCGAAAAGTGACATTAGATTGTCCGAGTGGTGGAAAGGTTACCTTTCAGTTTTCTTATGCCGCTGGAAATAACAATGGAACTTCAGTAGAGGATGGTCAGATTCCGGAAATAATATTCTATACATAAAGAGGAACAATAATATGCAAGACTGCTTCAAAATGGAGCAAGGAATAGCATTTTATTTCTATTTATAATGTTGCATTTCCTTAAAGAAATGAAAAATTGATATACACATATACTCGTATTATAAATCATATGAGATTTGTCCTCAGAGCTATGAAAATAGTATAATGGACATTAAAAATGCTAGAGAACTATTCGTTTTGTATTTCTGTTAAGAAAAGTCATAAAATGGCATTGGTGTGTACTGAAATACTGTGTATGGAAGTGTTGTTTACTAAAATTACCATCCAGTCAACAAAAAAGGAGCATCAAGCAAGAAGTGGTGAGATATTCACATTTTGTACATACAAAAAAATTTGATTTGAAATGTAAATGGCAGTTGTGTGTGGAAGTTATATGGTTATAATACACTACTCAATTTCCAAATAAACACCCTTGCTTTGACTCGTTTGTGTTTAATACTATCCTACCTTTTCATTGTTGCAGTTGATTTGTCAAAATGTACCACACTAGACCAAAAATATATATATTTAATGTAGCAGTACCAGAATATTTCTTCCTTTCTTTCATATTTAAACTGTACAACAGATATTAACAGTCTTCTAAAAGAGACTAACAGAACCTGTCTTGTTCTCTCTTATTATCGTGCCACTCTATACAATTTCACTTTCCATTATTTTTTAACCCTGAACATTATATGCATATGTATTCTTTGATATAATAGTAAAATCTCTCTATTAGTCACTGAGAAATAAATTTTCTGATAGAATTTGACATCATAAACATAGCCGACTTCATTAAAAGTCTCATGTAAAAGAAATGCAAATCTTTGTATTAATATCAGTCAGCATATACTGCATTCTAATGAAACTAGGAACTCTTTTTCTAAATCCTGAAATCAGAGCATGAAGGAAATTTAATGTCATGTAGTGAGAAGTATATTACTGAACAGAAAATATATTGCCACAGCCAAGTTATGATTTTACTGGCCTTGCTGTCCTCTAGCCACAGGGAAGAATGAAGCCATTTATAAGTTAGGAGCATCCATGTAACACACTGTGCTGCTCCCAGTTTAAGTGATCCAAATGGCCATAGTATGGGAAGAAATGTATAATGGAACGTTGATATTTGTCAGAGAATTGCAAAATCTGCCCCTTAGGAAGTATTACTACTTTTAATCTGTGCACATAAATATATGCACAAAGGTCCACGAGAATCCAGTATCTCATCCTGAAACAGTCAAGTTGCATTTTTATATACACTCAACTGACTCTATTTAATGCTGCTTTATTCAGTACTCTCTTTGTTTCAAAATGTCCTATACCCACTGGGTGTGAATATATATGATTCATAAAAATTTACAACCCAGTGCAAGAAACATATTCATTTGTATTTCGTGTTTGCTAAAGAGAGATAAAAGTCTTATAAATATTTACTGCAAACTTAAAAATATTCATATTACAGGAAGCATGAGAGATTTTACTACTTGTTGCACAAAATCAGACAAAAAAAACTGTCATCTAACAAGATAAATATTGGTGTTCTAACTGCTGCAACAAATCAATCAATTCTACAGTTATTTACAAAATGTGTACATTTATAATTACATGCACACTATTAGCACAGTTTTAAACTTGCACCTTCGCATTACTGATATATACAAATACCACATTTACCTATGTAATAGTTAACTTTTTATCCCTTCAAATATTAGAGAGAGGTGGGCTTTGTTAAAGACCTTAATAAATATTGTGGCGTATAGACCCGTTGCTAAACAACGAATTTATAAACAGAGGATGTTGCTAGGTAACGCCCGCAACGTACATTCACGCAACAATAATACAAGGGGTTATGCAATCCGTTTCTAAGCAATGGAGCAGTAAACAGCTACAACAGTAGGGGTACTCTTGGAAACGGTGTTTTCTATTTGGTCTGTGCAAAGTGGTTATAAAGAAGGTTCAGCTGGGAACTGAAAGTTGAGTTTCAGAGTTCCCAAGTGAACAATTAGTCGGGAGTTAGGCTCTGCAAGGGAGGCTGAGAATATGGCACTATGAGTTTAGGTGTGGGGTGTTAACCAGCGAGCAGTGGCCTGACTAAGGAAGCTGAAGAATCTCCACTGTGTTAAATCTGTTGCCAGGAAATGGCTAGTGGAGACTAACAGACTGAAGACACTAGCCTTGTGTCACTGAGCTGTAAAGTGTAATTCTGAGTGGTGCATTCGAGTGGTCAATAAATCCAATTCATCAATCCATACCCCATCTATACTCACTCCAAAGTCATGACAATATGAAAAAGCAATGCAAAATTAATCTGATTTTAATAACCTAAGATTTTAAGTGTACTGAATATCACTAAGACCATAAGGATTCTTAACAGCCCAGACTCATGTCATAATGAGACAGATCTGCTAAGAACTTGGACCATGAACATTAAAGCACATTGGTAATTTAAAAGAATTCTCTGGAAATTAACTAAATATGATCTTGTTCTAAGAAACACCAGTTTCCAACCATGATGTTCAGGACAGTACTAAATTCTTTACTGAAGACACATTTTTCTGTGGTATGGTCAGATTCTGAAAATAATATTCTACGTTATAAAGAGAAATAATAATTTGCAAAATTGGTTCAAAATGGAGCAAGGAGCAGCATTTTATTTCTACTCATAATGCTGAATTTATATTTTTCAGAAATTATTGAACTGCTGGGTAGAACAGTCTGACGCTCCTCTGGTATGTTTGTTCTGCAGATGACAAGCCTGCAGTCTAAGAGACTACAAATAAAATTTACCCAGATTATAGCAAATGCTGGAAATGCTCTGCTTCTATTGTTGTCATGATAATGTTCATGGCTAGCACCAATTTCAGCATTACTTTGGGTGAGGAAGAATACATCAAAACTGTTGAGTGCTCCATAACAAGAAACTACCACTATCCTTTCAAATACAGATCATTCTGTCAAGGGCTGATTGTTGCAGTTCTAGTTATTAAAGTGACTGGGTAAATTATCCAATACTGATGTACATACACACAATACAGATGTGATCCCTGCTAAGGCTTCATCTATTCTCAAAAGGAACTCATCTTCCACTGCTGTGTTTCTTGCCAATTACAGTCCCATCAGAACCTCTTTACCCATCTTTTTCTAGTCATAGATTTTTCAAGCGACCGTGACTGCAATTACTTGCCGCCCCTGTGATGTTGAGGGAAACATACACAGATGATCGTTTGATGATAATGATAGACACAAAACATGCGTACCTAATATACAGGCAAATGTGATATATTAGCAGCAATGAGAAAAAGGTTCACACCTCAACATTCATGAAGCCTCTATCTCCATGAACTTCTAAAATGTTTTTTGACCAGTAAACTATAAAGTCTTTGCAAAGTTTTCAAAATACCTTATTTTCCAACAATTAAGTCATGTTGTTTAAACAAATAAAACCAAAACACAGGCTTATTAAGAGAGAAAAAGGTGTAGGGAGGCTGGAGGATGGGGTTTCAAAGGGATCAAATACCTAAGAAAGTTTAGCAAGTTTCATCTGTTAACGCAGAAATAATGAATGTTGCACAAACACACCATAACATTTTCAATTAACAGCATCATATATAATAGACACTGTGGGCCTAAATATCAAGTACTATAATTGTCAACCATGAAAATAAAAGTTAACAAGATTGAGCAATAACATAAAAGGAAATGGTCAAAACTACAGTCCTCTTCTAAGGGGCATCTATACTACATTTTATGAAGCCCTGGCTTACTTTAAGTAGACCTGTGTTTGGACCATCCCTTAACTGAAATATAGTTCACAGCTCTGCCAGGTACCTACGACATAACATCCCATACCAATATCTACTGTGGCATCATCCAGTATGGGCTGTATTGATACTGGCCTTGAGGTGCATAATATGGGTACTGATGTTGATGGGGATGGTGCTGAGGAGGTGGTGGGGGTGGAGGAGGTTGAAGTAAACCCTGCTGCTGAGTTTGCTGTTGTGAGTTAGGTGGAGGTGGTGGAGGGGGTGGAGGATACATATTAATTCCATGCATATGGAATGGTAGATTTGCATTATACAGCTGTGGTTTAGATGAATAATGGTTAAAGGAAGGTCGGTCTCGACTGCCCAATCCTCCTCGCTGTTGGGGATGCTGCTGAAAATCTCCACTCCCTCCACGATGATTCCCATTACTTGTTCCTGATGTAGGGTTGCTCCCTTCAGCTTCTTCCCTTTCCCTCTCTCGTTCATTATCTTCTTCTTCTTCTATGCTGAAACCTAAGAACAAAATTAAACATATTAATTACGCAATCTGTTAACTGCCACCTTTTACTCTATGGTGTCTGCCAATACTACAGTATTATTTACAGGTTCCTGACAGATTCATAGGTTTTAAAGCTGTGGTCAATGTGAATGTTCATTTAAAAACAACTCAGATTGTGCTGTTCAGAGGCTGTTGCCTTTGGACATTCAGTGAAACTACTCTGTGACTGCAAAGGTAAGGTAAAGTTGTCCCTGTGCTTAACTAATCACGTACTATGCCATTAAGGCATAAGGGGGAGTGGATGTAGAGATCCACATTTTCTTGACCTCGGCACTAGCCGGAGGTGAATATTCTGCTTATGAAATAAATAAAATGAGTCACTACTTATTGTAGCCACAGTACTGTTAAGAAAATGCAGAGATGTTACTACTGAAAACTGGCACTGGATGATGATGATGATGATGGTGATTTAATTAAATACTGGATTGTGGTTCAAATAAAATCATATTTATGAAATTGAATAAATATGATAAAAACCTCATCCTCCATAATGTGACAGATTGCAAGAAACCTTATAAAGCAAAGCACTAACAATATTCTATCAACTGCAAATGCTACTCAGTAGTGAATATGGCAAAATAATAAATGTGAACTGGGAAATGAAGATGTGATCATGACTCATCTCAAGGATTTGCCTGGAATTGCCTGCATGGGCACAAAAGTGTAACGCTGATGATCAAATTACTGTATGAAATAATTCACACATGTATGAGGGAGATGAGGAATCCATACATGGTTTTGGTGGGAAACCCAGAGGAGACCAGTAGAAAGAACTGGACATAGTTTGGAGGATAATATTAAAATGAATCTTGGAGAAATAGTATGAAGTGGATTAATCTAGTTCAGAATAGGGACCAGTTGCAGGCTCTAGTAAACATGGTAATGACCTTTGGGTTCAATAAAATGTTGAAAATTCTTGAGTAGCTCAGTGACTGGTACCCTTTCAAGAAGGACTCACCTCCATGAAGTTTAGTTAGTTAGTTAGTCTGTTCATAATTTTCACTTGCCTGGTCCTCCCTTAAGCCTCTTGACACTCATCTCCTGTTCCCCTGGCCTCTTGTCACCTGCTTTAGGTACGGGTAGTTGCAAAAAAGGGATGTTGAAGAATTATTAGAGGATTAATAAAGGTGATGTTTGATGATGTGAAAAATTGGGATATATATGAAAAAAAAAATAGAAACAGAAAGAAGTGTATGAGAATTACAAACAATAGTGATCAAAATAATGAAAGAATTATATACTTTCTGTCAAAATTCTATTCACCATTTCAATGAATAAGATTAAAATTCTGAGAAATGTTCTAGTTCTTTCATTATTCCTTGTTTCACTCAACAGCAGTACAGGAGAACCACCATCTAATGTTCCTTGAGCTACGGTTTTCCCTCATTTAACACTAAATTTCCATGATCCCATCTAAATAAATACACTAACAAACTGTCCCCACTTAAGAATTTTCTCAGTTTAGTGGCCAAATCCACTGGTCCCCAAAGAAACCCTAAATGGAGGTTTCGCTGCAAACTTTCAACATTGGAACTGCAATCTGCTGTAAGAATAAAATCATTAAGAGAATATATTCTGCTTCAAAACACGAACTCCAATATCACTTATCTCCAACAGCTGCAAATCATTCACACCAAATATATTAAAATAACTGCATTAATTTTATTTCCTATTTAAATTGGGCATCAAATGTTGCATTCTGAAAATAGAAATCAAAAGGGCTAACATATAGGATGTCCAAGTAGCCCCAGTCAGGACTATTTACAAACAGTTCTGTCTGTATTTGGCACCAACTGGAAATATGTGCTGGCAGCAATTGCAAAGCTTTTATAAACCCAATCTTATTTCATGCATACATGCTTGCTTATATTGGATACAAACTTGGATAAAAGAAGCCAAAGCAAAGAATAAATCTTACAGAATCATAATATGCTGCAGGAAGCTAAAAAGTAAAATATGATTATCTGATTCTTGGTTACAGAAACATTCTCAACTTAAAATGTAACAAATTCATTTTCACTGTACACTTGACTATTCCTTGATATCTTGTTCAGTCACGATTTTTCCTGAATGGAGATGTGGCTACAACCCACCATACCTATACATAAATACAATGATAGTTCAATCATACTTTTAACAGTGGCAGTTCCAGTCACAGCCAACTTTTACTATTTGGTCAACTGTGACCTAACCAAGATAATAAGCCCATAAATTTCACAGGTTTCAATCCAGATGCAAATATTTTATACCGTTACAAAAGTTAAAAATCGATGTACAATAAAGTCCTCCAAAATAATCTACCACAGTGGATTTTTACTTTGTACTGATGCAGCTGATCACCCAAGAAGACCTAATGTATTAAGTACTGTGAAAATCAGACTTTATATAACTTTACTGTATTAGTACCCTCAAAATTATTATACAAAGGTTGGATTTTGACAGACACCTGCATGGAGAGTAAACTGTAACTTTCTGTTATATGATGTAAAATCTCACATCAACAAAACCTGAACAAAGATACAGGAAGAAATCAACCTAACACATCCAAAATTTATGTTATGTATTCTACCACACATCACAATTAACATTTGATCAAAATTAATCACACTGTGTAACAGATACTACATCATCTTAATTCTCAAGAGGAACCCATTATAAATCCCTCCTCTGACTATCCCAAAAGAGAATTTCAAGGTGTACCTTAGCCCCTCCCAGTGAATACTAGACAGTACATCAAAACAGATCATGCAAAATCCCACCCCTTATGTTCAGATTCATAATACTCGTATCATCCTGACAATATACCAGGTGGTGCAAGAGAATAATAAAATGAATGGATCCGTGGATTTTAACAAAATCTATACAGGTTGTGTTGAACATACCCGTGTGCGCATACAAAAAGATTTATTCAGTTTGGTTGTTTTGTCATTATGAAGAAATTCTTCCCATTCTGAGTGTTAAAAATGGGTATTTAATTTATAAGTCAATTGATGCTGAATGGGATCTAGACAGTCAATTCAGTGTGAGTTTACTGTTTTGTTCCAACACACACAAACCTAAGAGACTTAAATCTAGAGAATTTGGTGGTAATTCTGTGGATCTGTAAATTCAACTGTAGCAATAACCAACTGTTCCAGAGAGCAAGAATATGAATGTAACAATGCTTACCTCTAATATTAAAAATGAAACATATTTTTCTGTAACTAATCAACCAAACTAAATAGATGTTTTTAGGCATGTATGTTCCACATAACTTATGTGAATTTGCCGTAGTTGGTTCTGGCACTGTGCTACAAGCCAGAAGGTCGCAGGTTCAAATCCTGATAAGGTCACTGAATTTTTTTCAATTGACCTAATCCTTCCAACCTCACTATGACCCTGGGGTCAACTCAGCCTCTAACAGAAATGAGTACCAGAAATTAATTAAATAATTTTCCTGGGGAGTAAAGCGCGGTCGACGCGTAAGGCTGACAACCTTACCGCCATCTTTGAGCCGATTGTCTAGATAATGTGGGACCCTCGTCTCACAACCCCATGGGCCTTCACGGCCTGTTACAAGGATAGCTTTACTTTTTTTTACTTTTACCACTGCATCCTTGTAATTCAGTTTAAATAACTGGGTTCCACCAAAGACTGACACTACATATTCCCACTGGGTCTGTGCCTGGTACACTGTTCAGACTGACAGTTTGCAATATGATTTCTCAAGCACGAACATATGAGGGCAAATCGAAAAGTATTTGCCCCTGATTTTTTTCAGCCACAATAATACACATACAGGGAAATCAAAATACAGGCAGTGTTCTAAGTACCTTTGACTATTATTCCACATAGTCACCACCCCGGTTCAGGCATTTGTCCTGTCGCACCACTAGTTTGGAGATCCCACTGTTGTAGAATTAGGCCAGTTGAGCGCAGAACCACCGCCAGACGGCAGTTTTCGCATCGTCGTCAGAAATGAACCTCTGGCCTGCCAGGAACTTCTTCAGTGAATCTTGCTGGATCTCACCGTCACTAGAGATGAAATGTGGGTATTGCATTTCACTCCAGAATCCAAGCAGCAGAGCATGGTGTGGAAACATGGAAATTGCAGTCATTCAGATGGGAGATTATGGAGCATGCACCATATAGTGCAGACCTCGCCCCCATTGATTACCACGTTTGGTCCAATGAAGACATTCCTGGCAGGCCAGAGGTTCATTTCTGACGATGACGCGAAAACCGCTGCCCGGCAGTGGTTCCACACTCAAGAGGCCGAATTCTACAACAGCGGCATCTCTAAACTAGTGGTGTGATGGGACAAATGCCTGGATCGGGGTGGTGACAATGTGGAAAAATAGTCAAAGGTACTTAGAACACTGCCCGTATTTTGATTTCCCAGTATGTGTATTACTGTGGCTGAAAAGAAAATAGGGGCATAGACTTTTCGATTTGCCCTTGTACATGGATTCTATAAATGTTTTACATGGCAGCCATGCTTCAACAGCTGAAATACAGTCTCTAATGGTTAAATGCACTAATAATCCCTCTATATTCAAACCCATGGATGTGTAAACAAATCCAGCTGCCTTTGTAACATAGTACACATTATTCTTGATACAAACACCAAGGTATATATTGAATTTTGTAGCAACACACATAACTCTTACAGAAAATGTCTTCAGAAAACTGTTTGTTCACACATAGGTTCAAAGTAAATAATCCTGTCATATGTCCACTGAGTAAAGAAAATTATTATTTTCTAACTTCTGAATTCAAAAGACTATTTACTTAACATACAGTGGTGGAAATTATGAAAACAGGACATGCATCCAAAAAGCATTTTTAAAAGTAAATAAAGTACAACCAAACAAACAAGGCACAGTAGTTTTAAAATAATATGAGTGGTCAAGTAAAGCATCAATTTATGGCTAAAGCATATCATGGAAATGAGGAGAGAAAAAAAGAAAAGAGGAAGAACTACACTAAGTATAGGTTATAATAAAACTGATTATCAACCTTTAGCTCTCTTCTGACACAAATTATACAAGTAAACATTGAAACAGATTCTGTTCATTTGTTTTCAAGTCCTTATACACTTGAATCATGAGATGATTCTCATGAATGTAACTACAGGAATAACATTCAGTGATAAGTGGTATCATTCAGAATAAAATTTATGTACAGAGTGAGTGGGGAGGAATAACCATAATATATGAAGGAAATGAACAGGTTTACAAGAAACAAAAATACATCAAAATGTTCATAAAGGTATGAAACAGAATGTCTGTAAACTTCCTACTGACAACACAAAATCAATTTCTGGGTGATCCATTAAATTAACAACAAGTATTCTTATAGACATTCTTGTAGAAACAAATTTAAATATTTTTCCACACAACTGGACTTACACTCCCTTCTATACATATGTTTCAAACCATTTTTTTTACAAATAAAAACACCTATTTAATGTAGATGTTAGATCTAGTATTTAAGTCTTGTTTGTAGTTGCATTTTATTATGTTTAGTGACTGTGTTGTCTATATTTTATATTATGTTATTTTGATTTGTTCCAGTGATTGGTTGGAACATTTGTTTTGATTTTTGACACATTCTGTATCCAATGGCGTGTGAACTTGTTTCTCGTCCTGTAATTGGATCTATTTGAATATAAGAATAATAAAAAGAAAAATTATTAATTCATATTGGTGTCACATTTTACATCTTCGCCAGGAACTTGAGCAAACATATTTACAGTGAAAATCAGACTTTTAAATTTATTTTTAGGTAGCTCATTCTTCACCACAATGTCTTGATAGCTCAGTTCCTACAACGCCAGACTATGGGTTCAACAGATGTGGTTCAATTTCTAACAGGGACACTGGTACTATTTATCTTCATCATGTTTAGAATGGAAACTCATCCCACCCATATCTAATAAGTAGACCCATCCTCCTAAGCTAAAGGGAAAAAGAATGTAAAGCTGACATACCAACTCTGTCTAGTGTCAAGGCTGATAATGAGCGGCATGTAACCATGTTCCACATGCCTTCACAATATTCCTGTTTCTAAAAACTACCTAAGCCTAAGGCCAACTGTTTTGAACTGTTACAGCATTAGTGAATATAATATTAACATAGGTTCTTGCCAAAATTACTGTACTGTGCAATTTTCATGCAACAATGCATTCAGCATTCAGAAATATATTCAGCATTACATTAATGTGAAATAAACCATCTGTTATGGGTATGGAGGGCTGGTGCAAGCCTAACTACCAATCTAGGTGATATGAAATTCCAATGGTCAACCCCCTCACTCACTCAGTTAAGAACAGCCCAACTTTCTTAAAAATTCTGAACTTTTTACTGATTAGTAACATGAAATTCCCAGACACTGTGATGAAAACCACCACTAGTGTTGTAATTCTCATGAGTTTTATTTACATTGCTGCATAACAAGTTTATGAACATAAAAAGAGCAGAAATTAATTTCCATTTAACAAATATCAAATGTTTGTAAAATGTGCCACTCCAGTAAGACGCACAGTTCACCTGCATTATCACACCAACACTGTACGTATGAACAGAAAATGTTTCAATAAAAATTTCTTGTGTTAAAACTTTCATCTTAGTAGCCTGTATTTAACTTAAAACAAAAGAAAGTTTTCTAAGCAATTACAAAAGCATATGTAATAGAAGTTCTAAAACATTCTGACACATGCATACTAAGCAGGATGGAGAATCATCAGCACAGATCCACACTGGTCAGTATTCCCACATAAAGCTCAGCATCTCCAGTTTGTGCCAATTCTCCAATTTAATGCCACATTCCCAGGCAATGACACACAGAGGTTAAGTAGGCAGTCTATGGCTTTGCTTGATTTCAGGCATTACCACTCAAACCACCTCACCTATAAGTTCAACATTCCTAACATACATATTGTACTGGAACCTCGGTCTTCCTTTGTCTTACAATTACACCCAAATTGAACATTAATTCATGACCTGCAGCATGACTAAGAGATCATTACTACATATGCATCAATCACACAATCAGACAGACAAATTATCATTAGTACTATTATCACACATTTTGTATATATAAATTTAACAGAAGTTACCATAAAAAACAAAAAAAAAATAATAATAATCTCTTAGTTACTTCCTGATACACTAGAAATGCCAAGTGATATTACAACTGCCATCTTCTAACATGGTGGTGAGAATGCAACATATTCTCCATTGCTTGCAAAGAACAAAGACACTGATGATGACATGTCATTACTGTATTATATGACATGATGGTGGTTGGAAGATGAAGTGTGTATTTGTCCTCTTCAAACCCTTCTTGTATATCAACATACTTGTTATACAGTGCTGTGTATGTACGTATGTGTGTGCGGGTGAGTAAGGGGTGGGCTATACAATCAGGCCCTCTCACTGTGACCTTCAACGATCTATCGTGCTTCTCCTTTGGATTAACCCTTTATTAATCCTACACTTTGAATGAAATGTAGGGCTTCAATTATGGGGGTGTTATGAACGTCACTTGGTTCCATGAAGAACTGACACAGGTGACGAAATCTTAAGTAAGCTATGGCCTCAGAATTACATAGGACATGACGTGGCTGATTTGTCTTCTTGTAAGCACCTTTCACAGGTTGGGTCATCTGTCAGTCCCAGTTTATACAGTGCTGAATGATCGGATGAATTTTGATGTAATGGAAGAATATGGTAAGAAGCAAGTACATCCCATTTCTAATTAACCAGTGGTCTAAAAAGCTCCATATGGTAGGCCTATAACCGATATGTCAACATTCCAGGCATTAATAATATAGGAAGCACTGCTACAGTTGGACAAAATTATGTGACACTTTTAGATATTCTACTGCAGTTTTGTGCCATTATCCCTAAAAATGTTTCCGTCTCATCACTAGGCATGTTAGTATAAAACTGATTAGCACTTTCAGATCACAGATTTCTTCAGAAGAATTGAATCAGGGCAGTATGTATCAGAAACGTGACTGCTCCTTGCTATACTTGCATGCAACTGATACAACCAAGTTGCTGGGATTTCGTAAATACATAACAAGAGAATCTGTTTTGTGCTGCCAACATGCAAGTATTTACAACTGCATGAAACACATTTGACCTAATAATATTTACTCATTCCAAAAAAAAAATTAACATTTCATTAAAAATTACACTTTCATATCTGATTGCAAGGCTGTCCCAAGACCCAAGAAATTATGTATGATACAGTATGCCCCAAAAAATTGCAGTACTGAAACTTGCGCATCTCGAATGCGCATGTGCGTTTGTCAACGGGGCACAGCTCCAGCCGCACGCGTTCCCAGTAGTGAAAAGGAAGTTTTGTTGTGCAGTTGTTGTTGGAAATGAGTCTCTTGACAGAGGAAAAAGTATTCATAGCTGATTATTATTGCCCCTCATACGGAAGTGGTCGCCAGACAACTCGCTTCCTTGGTTTTGAGTGGCCAGATGTTATCGTCCAGAAACCGCTACATAGTACACATGTGACGATATGGTGTGCCATCTCAGCACACGGTATATTAGGCCCCTATTTCATTGAGGATGAGGAAGGCAATGCTCTTACCGTCACCCAAGAATGCTACAGGGACATTGTGATCGGGCCATTTCTTCAGGATTTGAGAAGGTTCTGTCCTGCAAGGAGCCTTCACATGAACAGACAGTGGTATCAACAGGATGTCTTTTCATTTCAGTACTGTATATTTTGGCGCATTCTGTATATCTAGTTTTCAAATTGATACTATGGTGGATGCTAGTACAACAAAAAGATAAGCTGCACTGTCAAAGCAGCAACTGGAACAGAATTCAGAGATGGATGCCACATGTTTCTCTGAAATGTCCATACACACATAAAGGCTACTTGGCACCACAACCATGAAGATCACAGTCTAAATACACCATCTTCATAATTCATACCAAACCATATTCATTACCCTTGCAGCTACAGTTGCTAAGCCTTACAGATCAAATTCAGAATAAACAGAGAAGTAAACTGTATAAACTACAGGAAATCCCACAGTATAAGCTGGAGACCTAATTTCTTAGCAAAATACTTCACACTTCAAATCATACAAAGTAAAAAGACTGTAAAAATAACTATATATATATATTTTGCAAATCACTTGGCATACCTAATATATACAGATGGAGTTGTACATCTTATAAGTAAAAAGTAAGAAACACCATATGTGCAGGAGAAAAACATCTCACAACAGTGAACAACATTACTACATCAGCTTACCTCTTAAACCTCTGCTTCAAGCACGACCATTGTCTAAATAAGTTACACAACGCAAACGAAAAAAATAGAAATAAAATAAAACCCATCCAAAAGATTTCTTTTAAAGTCTTCTGATTCAGCATTAACTGGTTTCTGGAAAACTAACTGCATTAATGTCTGCTTACCTGTACAATTATATGCGGAACTCTTAACAAGATTTATTGGCAAACTCGTACAGATGAAATTCTCCCTTAATCTAACCGTAAGTATGAACACTACTATTGAAATGAGCCAAGAGCATTATAACTCCGTGCAAGGGTATGCAATGTTACTCAATGACTTCACCATCAATCTGCAGCCTTCACCAACTTTTGCATCTCATCCTTCTTTTACACACTCTCTAAATCTGCATCAAAGCATAGAGGGTATATTAGTCTATTCACCTTACATCATCTAGTTCTATGTTCACTCCAAAAAACTTCATTACAAATTCAGCATCTATTTACACCTTCAGAATGCCTGTCCAATGTCTATCCAATAAATTGATAAAAAACATAAGAAGTATAAAAATAGAAATATGAAGATAAGTAAAAACAGAATGAGACAAATAAAATCATATTAATATAGTACTGTGTTTTTAAAAATCACAAAAAAAGAACTTTCAGACAATGTGATAAAATATAAAGACTGGCTAAAATTTTTGAACAGAAAGAGAATATGCAACAATTCCACAATTCTCTTCCAAACACAGAAGATGATAATGAAGTTTCTTAGTGTAAGCAAAGACAGGCAAATAGTACCTGTCAGTTACCTTGTAGAAGAAGTCAGCTGGTTCGCTCAGCAAAGGTAGGATGAAAATCTTTGAGAAAACCTAAAGACAGTTATTTGCAACTATAACAATGATGACATTTTTAATACACCTGAATGATACCAATAATGACAGAGCAAAGCCGGAAGGTCTGTCTCCACGCTGTCATTGAGACAAGAGGGCTGGGCGGGGTACTGGAGGGGATTACCAACCTGTGGAGGATGGAGGTGGGGGGGGCGGAGGCATGAGTTGCTTGTCTCTCTCAGTGCTTCGACCTCCTGTTTGCTGTTGTTGGGGTGTTGCAGCATTCACCTGTTGCTGTTGTTGCTGTTGCTGCTGCTGCTGCTGCTGTTGTGGTGAAGACTGCTGCTGCTGACTGCCTTGCTGGTGCTGCTGTCGCTGTTGTTGATTAAGCTGCATCAATTCTTCAACACTGAGGGCGAAACCACACACATTCAACCAAAAAAAAATTTTCACATACATCACACCATGGTAGCTGCTTCATACGCCTCCTTAAGTTCTTGTTTACTTACTTAAGTTTTGTAAATGACTCATAGTGAATATTACTAATTTACATTACCTGAAAACAAAAACCACAGGCTTTATAAGATCACAGTTATTGTTTAAGGTTAATATATACAGTAAATGTTTTACTCAACCAACAATTTATATTTTTAAAAATGTTATAGTTGTTTAGTACATTTAATTTAATCGTATAAGTAATGGTACTTTGACTGCTCATACATTAATACTGGACATGACAACATACCAAAAATGTAACTTGCAGCAGTAATTTTACTTGTATGTTTCTATGCCTCTAGCCTATGTTTCTTCTAGCCTGTCATCTAAATTATTGCAAGAATGATCTATGAAACAAGACCAAAAGACCAAAGAGAAAATCATTTAAACTTTTCCCATAAAATTATGCTGCATATTCATGACAGCGGATTAATTATTTATGTAAGATTTTAATGTTTTAAATTAAATTTCAGTGTATTTATGTCACAGCAACTCTTTAAATTTATACAGTTTTACTAAATGTGGTACTGAAAAGCATTACCCATACTTGCTGATAGAGCTCGAAGAATACCACGAGAAACAGAAACAAGAATATCCACATTTAGGGAGAACTGAACAAACTCTAGTCAAAGCCATGAAAATATAAGACCAAGCAACAGCAACAGGCATGACCAGAGTGGTTTGAATGGCTGTTGTACTGCAATGTGGAAAGCAAATGGAGAAACTACCACATTATCACTTTTCCTGGATAGTCTCATTCCAAAAACAGAAGATCGCATTAAGTGGAGGTACTGTTTTGGAAGAGACTGTGGACCTGTTGTCTGACAAGATTACTGATAATGAATTACCTGTAACATATATAGCCCTAATATTGCAAAAGGCAGTGGTGATATGGTAATAATGTTGGTGGCCATGACAAAAATGATTCTGTCCCCATTATCAAGGTTGGAAGCTTTAAAAGGATACCCATTTCAAGATACTGAATTTCTGTCTAACAAAAATTTGCCTATAAATCAAAGTTCTCCTTTAATTTTCCATTTCAAGAGCAATACTACTATATTATTTAGATGAATGTTCTCTATGATGTGTTTTCAAAAGATGAGTGCTCTATTTACAACTATGACACTTACTGCAATAAAATTTTATTAAAAGCATGAAATTCTGATATTAAAGGTTACACATGTACATAATACAAACAGAAGTATATTACTGCAAATCAGAATTTGTGATCTGTTACAATGTTGTGACACAGGGAATATACATAGAAAAACATTAGCATAATGTGATTGTACTAATGTATGAGCAACCTGAATTTCATATTAATATATTTATTAATGTTCATTAGCAACTGTAAATTACATAATCTGATACATTGTCTAGAACTAATAGTAGCAAACAATGAGGGTATAGAAAGAAATGTAGCTAAATATCAACCCCATATGGTTAGCTACCTGAATGGGCAAGATTACCTTCCAAAATTGCAGAAAATTTAAGATTAATTTCGTTTAGGACAATGAAACCTGTTTGTTTATTTTGCCAACAGGAGAAGTTTAGGATTACAGAAAATATATGTACAAATACATACATATTACTCAATGCTGAAAGAAAAGAAATATGAAAATAGTAACCCAACACAAAATAGTGCAAAAATTATATATTACTCTTCACAGCATCTAGAATGTTTACTTCAAAAGGACTGAAACACATGTATGATCAATATCAGCAAATTACATGTAGATAATTCCTATTAACATATTCAAATGGGAAAGAGCTCATGGCTGTGCACTGCAGACGTCTTGCTGAAATGCAACAAAAAACATGATCAATTTTATGTTCTTCACATTTATTCAAAACCATGCCCACCTTTATGTTAACAGTAAACAAAACTAGGAACTCAAATACAGTAAGATAATATACGAAACCAGTGAAACCTGGTCAGAGATCTCACATGCCCGATTCCCAAAATGATATTCCAATGAACTTGTTTTACTTAGGAAAAAAATATATAGGAAAAGAGAAATTAAGGTCAACAGCAAAAATAGCGACATGGAAAGGAAAAGAATATAAAAGAAATAATTAAAAACCAACCCAGGTAACAAAGAAATCAGGCATAACAAGTAAGGTTAACTTCAGGAAAGAAATTACTGAGGAAAGTTTACAAAAATATTGTCTCATATAAAGTCAATGATCCATCCATACATGCATAAACAACATACATAAATATACACAAATGTTGACAGCACTGGCAACCAGGCAATAAGGCAAGAGAGAAGAATCAGAGAACTTACTCAGCAAGATAACACACAAATTGACATAAAAAAATGTGTCACAATGGATTTCTTCAGTGCTTGATTATGCAGTCTGAGTGACAGATGTCTTCCAAAATCACCAGTCTGTTTCCTTTAGTTACCGAGTCCTTGAATTACTATTCTGACAGATCCTCTGAATCTCCATTCACACCTTATTTTGTATATTACTTAAGCTCAACAGATGCAATTAAACCCACAATGGTATTGTACTAAAACAATATATTAGCTTACCCCACACCCTGCCTGGCATGTTGAACTCCAGTTGAGGATGCTGGCCCTTGTCCTAAACCCAAGGATCGGTTGCCCTAAACAGGGGAATGTCCAACAATTGTAAGTTTATTTTACTATCAATGTAATGGCAAAAATAAATGCAGACACCAGATTCCATACACTGATCCTTTCACCATCTTAGATTAATGAATAAGTATATTACAAAAAGTTACCATGAACTGTGAAATTTGACATAGGCACAATACCTGAGTCTCTCTGTACGTTGTTGTACTTGGTATCTCTTGCTGTTTAGGAAGCTAAGATACCTTTGTACTCTTGTATTTGGTGTCACAACCTGATCTGAGCCTTGGCCCCTAATATTGGAGGGGTTTTTTTATATATAATTCATTAATAAAAGACATATAGGTATGTAGCATCACTAGAAGGTTTCTACTTTCATGAAACAGAACTATACAGAGGCAAACATATGCATAGCACAGCAATTCTGACATATTCATGTGCTTCTTAATTACTTCAAACACCACGGCACTTACTCACAAGTTGTGCTGAGCACAAGATGTTTCATTTTTCTCTATGTCTGTTTGAAATAACTTTCACCCTTATAAATATTGAGTTCTGTACAAGTTACATTATACATGCATGCACAAATGCATGAAAATTTATATATAAAGTATCCATTACCACTGTCCAATTTTAACCAAAACAGGGCTACAACTCTTTGATGAACCGTCACAACACAGCAAATAGTAAAACATCAAAGTCAGCGTACATCTGTGGCTTTGCTACATGTTTCGGCCACTATCGGCCATCATCAGGCAAATACATATCAACAAAAATCTACAATTTAACTGCAGTCATAAAATGGATATAACACTATTAATCGTACAATTTTAAAATTGCCTGATGATGGCCGATAGTGGCCGAAACATGTAGCAAAGCCACAGCTGTATGCTGACTTTGATATTTTACTATTTGCTGTGTTGTGACGGTTCATTAAAGAGTTGTATATTGTAGCACAGCAGGATGCATGAAATTAAGATCAAAATAGGGCTGTTAGAAACCTTTCAAATATCAAATGTCATGAAAATCCATTCAGCAGTTCTCAGATTGTTATATGCACTCTGATGAGCTGACAGACAGACAAGGTGAAGCTAACTTTCACTGTAAAAAGCCCAAAAAGGCATGCTCCAGGCAAGATTCAAATTTGCACCCTGGTGTTTGGATGGCTTCGAACCTGCATGGCCTGGAACACACAATTAGTGTGGTTACAGAAACATTACACAAGACATGTCCTCCCACCTGGAATCCTTCCTGAGATTCTTCCCGTTCCTCAGTGAAGCGACGCTTCTGGCCAGGTTTGCTGAGCTGCTGCTGCTGCTGCTGCTGCTGTTGTTGCTGCTGTTGCTGCTGAGATGTTTGTTGCTGTTGCTGAGATGGCGGCTGTTGTTGCTGCAACAACTGTGGTGGTGGTTGCTGCTGCAAGGGTGGTCCTTGTTGCTGCTGAAGAGGTGGCCCTTGTCCTTGTTTTATTTGTAATGGGGTATTCTGATTCTGTATAGGGGGACCTTGATTTTGAAGTTGGGAGTTTTGATTTTGTAAAGGGGAACCTTGATTTTGCTGCTGAAAAGGTCCTTGCTGTAAATGAGGACCTTGTGGTGGAGTTTGATTCTGTAATGGCGGTCCTGGCTGTTGAATTCCAGGTCCCTGAATTGGTGGCCCTGGTTGCATTTGAGGCCCTTGACCTTGTAGTGGAGGTGCCTGGCTCTGAATTGGTGGTCCCTGACCCTGAAGTGGTGGTCCCTGACCCTGAAGTAGGGGTCCTTGACCTTGTAAAGGAGGTCCCTGGCTTTGTAAGGGACCTTGTGCTTGCATGGGTAGACCCTGTTGCCAGGGTTGTCCTTGATGTTGCAAGGGGTGTCCTTGAGCTTGTATATGAGGACCCTGCTGCTGTTGTTGCACTTGGGTATGCATCCCCTGTGGAGCTTGCTGAGGTTCTGGACGTCCAAATGCTGGATAACTAGCAGGAGCTGGTATGGAATTCTGCATATACTAGAACAAAGAAAATGTAAGATACATTTAAAGATAATGGGAAGGGAATCAATACAGTTCATTTTTCCAAGTAACTGACTACACCAACATCATAAATTATAGCAGAAACCACCAACAGTCACCTACTAGCAGCTAACAGTCCTTTATAAAATTAAACTTGAATAATTAATGTATTTTAAGGACTACTGAGTGATTGTTCTATCTGGTGCACACATTTGTGTTGAGAGACAATTCCCAATGAAAGCGTTTATGGTTACGATTCATAATTGCATAGGGGCAAGCCCCTCATGTATTATGCTGAGGCATAATGAGCATCAGAATCTGTCTTACTTGATATGGGTACGAAATTGTGACAGCCTGTGTTCCTGGAGGCCCAGCCACAAAACCTTGTGGAGGTAACTGCTGTAGCTGCTGACCTGGCTGTGGTTGTTGTGGAGCCCCAATACTACCCAGCTGCTGTGGCTGCTGAGGATGTTGTTGCGGTGGCTGCTGCTGCTGACCAGCTAGGGTTGGCATAGGCACTGGTTGTGGAGGTTCCTGGCCAGGTTGCTGGGATGGAACAGGCACTGACTGTGGTACCAACTGCGCATGGGCACCAGATGTCGGTGGTGGTTGTGTTGTGACATAAATCTGTTGACTTCCATAAGAATGTGGCGGCAAAGTCTGATTTGGTGGTGGGACAGCTGTTGGTGGAGGTGCCAGACCTTGATGACCTGCCAAAAAGTATTTTCTTGCTTAGCAAGATTAAAGAAAGTTATCCACTTCATCATCTAATCCTTACAACTGACAATAAAAAAAAAATAATCCTTACATGTTGATTCAGCGCTTAATTCTTTACACTGAGTAAGTAAGGGCAGGGTTACTGACATTTTAGAAGTACATCTCCAGAGTTGGTGTAGGGTGAGCGAGTCTGTATAGCCTGTCATTTAGAAATAAATATAGGGGGAACTGGGGGTTAATGCCACATTTAGGTCTACAGGAACAAAGGACAGAGAAGGTTTTGACAGAAAAGTAAAGGTCATGGAATGCATCAGACTGTGTTTCCATGTATTTATGCATCCAAATGCTCACGTAGCATAACTCTGCTTTACCTTCACTGCTGTGGGTTGAATAATATGAGAAGTGGCGGGGAGATCACTGTTGATTTTGAGTGGGTTTCAGCAGGGATGGTAAGAAAGGTCATGGGGAATGGTGTGTCATAGGAGGACGATGGGTCTACACTGGGGGCAGGATTGATCATTGGGACAGCGGAGAGGGACAATTTTGTTAAACAGATGCAGTCAACTTTACAGAGAGGTGAATCTCCTTATACAGCTCTTGTAACCATTCATCACTTCAGCTTAGGATTGCGCAGGGGGTCTGGTTATGGCACTCTCACTACTACTTAACCATGTGGATGATCATCTAGGCAAGGCTTAACTAGTAGCCACCATTTTTATTAAAGTTCTGGTGTAGGCTAATTTCTATGGCTTCCTGAATAACTCTACTTGTGTACTGTAGCAGCTTCACTAATGCCATGGCCTAGCTGGTAAAATTCTATTACAGAGATATGACAGTGGATATGTTAATGGAGGGTCCTCATAACACTCTGGTATCAAAACAAAATCGTTTCTTCAACAGGTGAGAAAACTGTAATGAATAAATTAGTACTTAAAAGACTTATATATTTTCAGATGGATTGCTACTGATAAAGAGAGAGGATGGTAGTCCAGTGGAACCATGATATAATATCCTAACATCTGTGTGAAAGCATTGGTATAACACATGTCCTAATGTTAAGTTCACCTGTCCAGGAATACACCAAACTCAACTAATGAATTTCTTGGTTGTTCTGCTTTCAGTAAAATTACATTTGGTTTCCTTCCACATTAAAATACAACTGCTATCAAAGTGATTTTCTTCAACAGGTTCTTAAGCCACAACTCAGAGATGAAGATGAAAGGAGGATTCCAACCAACTCTGTTACCCACGTTTGGTACTAACTCAAATGGGATTTTTCGACCACTGGGCATGTCAAGCAGCACAACGAATGTGACCCTTCACTAATTTAACTATATGTTTTAAAGAGCCGAGGTTCATAATTTTGCAGAGTTGTGAGATTGTATCTATGCTTGCTGTCAATGTAATTAACCCTGATATTCTGTTTTTCAATCAAACATGTTTGGCTAGTATTTCCAGAGTACATTACAGAATGAGATACAATTCAAACAGTCATTTGATCAGACTGGCAAGAAAAGAATGCGAAGACAGAAGTTTTCAATAAAATAACAATGCACCTGGTGGGACTGGGGGCTGAGGCTGTTGAACTAATGGTGGCTGCTGAGGTTGGGAGGTGACAACAGCAGTTGTTCCTACAGGCCCGGACTGGCTCACGACCACCATTCCAGGAGGTGCTACCAACTGTTGTGGCAATGACGTTAAAGCATTCTGTGGTGGCGGTTGGCCCTGCACTGGAATACCAGGCGGTGGCTGTTGGAGTAACACTTGTGTTTGATGTGACTGTATTTGTTGATGATGTATCTGTTGCTGCTGCTGCTGAAGCTGCTGCTGGTGCTGCAACTGCTGTTGTTGCATCACAGCCTATCAACAATCATTATTATGTGTCAGTTTTATTGATTAATTAACAATGCTGTGACAACTGAAAAGGTCACACAGCATCAAAGAAAATAATATGCAATTAATTATATATAGTGGGGTTTGTATGTATGTGGATGTAGGCTATCATGCCCTGTTTAAATGTACTGTGCCAGTTTGTATATAAAAACCTGATACATCTCATAAGAGATCACACCCATGACCTCCTGAACAAGTCTGACCTTCACAGACTCCATCTAAGTAGCAAGGCTGTTGAACTACTGGTACGATAAAGTGGAAATACACTGAAGTGAATGGAGAAGTTCATGGAGGTAGGCCTAGGCCCACTGTGGCTGTAGTGCCAATGGGAAAAAAAAAGAGGGGGGGAACTGGAAATACTTAAAGTACACCATTCTGCTTACACCTGAAGACAGGTGATAACACAAAACAAACTTCACATTTGAAGTGAAATGGTGAAACTGCCATTCCTCACATGCATATCAATCTGTCTTTGTTAGAGAACAGTATACAAAAGGCAAGAGAAAAAAAAACACCTAGGCTTTATCTGCATGGTCCTAAAATACAATGCTTGGCACGTTAAGCCAAACCTTTACTTCCAGGCCACGAAACCCATAGTTTCTGTCGTTCCATATCCAGGATTTCAAAAACAGTCACCCACTTGCTACACAGGAGTTATTGGACAAAAATGGACAGCATATTTTAGTCTCTGTCTGAACATTTTAAACATTTAATAAACGTTTTCAGAATGTTCAATTACAATTATACATGTCTAAGTTGCAAAATGCTCTTTTAATTTCTGTGTATATTTACCTCATCTCTGCTGCTGTCAGTATGTGTTTGACTGGGTCCAGGATTTTGCTCCATATGTCAATATAGGCATGTAGATTCCCTTACTAGACTAACTGGTTCAGCTTTGATGTATTATGTTTCACCAATAATCTGTATTATTATCTTTCTGTATATCACTACTAAACTTCTCAAACACTACTAACTCTCCACTTTCACTGTTACATGATTATTTCACTCCATTATATTTTAGGTTCGCAAAGCAGTGGATATTAAGTTACAGCCCTCTGAAGTGTGACGTTGCATAGTAACCTACCTATCACAGCGGCCTCTGTAGTCTAGGGGTAACGTTCCCACCTCATGACTCAAGGTACGTGGGTTCAAACCCGGCGGAGGTTGTGGAATTTTTAAGGGTGGAAAATTCAGGGAACAAGTCCTCTGGGAGGGACTTCAAGCTGTGGGTCCCGTGTCGTAGCTTTATGGCATGTAAAAGAACCTCATGCCTCAAAGAGGCCTCTGAGCCAAATTACAAAGGACATTTCCTGCCCAACAATAGTCTCTAATGCCTCTGGTAGATGGGGGAAGCATCTAGATACCGCTGAGCCAGTACAGGCCGAACTCGCTGGCTGAGTCGGGACTCATGGCACACACCAGTATCAGTAGGGTATAGAGACTGGTAGAATATCACAGGGGGACGTACAATAGACCACTGGTCGTGGTGCATGGGGAAACCCACCCCCTCTAATAATAATAATAATAACCTACCTATCACACTAAAAAGCACCACATCCCAGAAGACCACAACCTTCACTATATTTTATTTCCTCTATGTGTCCTCTCTCTTCAGGCCTGTTCTATATATCTCCTTACAATACTTGTATGGAATGGCTGACAACATACTGTCATGTGTACGAAGTGTGACTAGAGATGGGCTTTGGATTGATGACCAGATATACTGGACTCTTTGATACAGCGCATGACTACACTTTACAGTTCACTGCTACATACATACACTAGTGTCCGCAGTCATGTCTTTACTGCCATTGCCTGGTAGCGGCTTCCAACAGCTGATGCTCCCTTCCATTTGGCTCCTGAACTGTCCTAAGCCACAGCTACCAGCTCCTAACAGCAGCAGCTCACAATGACTGAACCACAGCAGTTCTCTAACTAACTACAACTGCTAACTGGTCCTGCTCGGCACAGAGCCTGTAGAAAACGTCTCTTCCATTATTGCTGTATTCTTTTGTCACAGTGGAAATATCTTTGTTTGGGGAGCTGTTACCTAGCAATGGCTGTTGTATACATAGTTGCTTATTTCACAGTCATTGCCTAGCAACAGATCTACATACCACAACATGAAGTTGTATCGCTTGTGCCCTGAGGCTCAGATTACCTGCAGATGTTGTTGCTGATGTGAAACTGCCTGCTGTGGAGGAACCAAAGGCCCTTGATGTGTAGGTATATGAAGTCCTGGAGGTGGAAGTTGAACTTGCTGTTGTAAATGCTGCTGTTGTGCCAACAGGTGCTGCTGCTGTTGCTGATGCTGCTGTTGCTGCTGCTGTTGTTGATGCTGTTGCAACAGCTGCTGATGCTGCTGTGTTAAGTGAGGTGGTGGAACACCCAACAGTGGTGGTGGGCCTGTCAGCTGGGCAACTAAGGACATAAATTGAAAACAAGAATTTCTGGAAAGAACTTATGATGCATGTTTTAGCCATTTCTATATATAATTTCCTCTAGACATGGCCTCCCACTAAACAGAGTCACTGAAGCATGAAGGTGACTATTCACATCCATCTAAGGTTAAGGTTCAGAATGTGTGATACTATACCTTCACTCCTCCATACATCATAATGGCATGATATGTAATTAAACAAAATGATAATTTTGCCTCATTTTTAATATGGGTGCAAAAAATGAAGCTATCACTGTATCATGCTGTGGAGGCCAATAAGATTGTGAGGCGCCGAGTCTCCCACATTTTCTTTACGATCAGCTCACGGATGGCAATGATTGTGTCAGCCTTATGAGTCGGCCAGCTTTTACCCACAGGATTATTCCTGGTACTCATTTCTGTTAGAAGCTGAGGCGACCCCTGGGCCATAGTGCAGCTGGAAGGTTTAGGTCAGTTAAAAAAATCCAATGACCTTACTGGGAATTGAACCCATGACCTTCTGGCTGTTCCCTACTGAAATAATGAATAATAATAATGAAAATAATAAATCCTGGTCTAAAGAGAGTATGTTATATTAACATTAAAAATCACTGATGTCAGAAGACTGAAATGAAACCATGGTATCCAACTCACTATAGTACTTGCTTAAGAACATGACAATTCCTGAGATGATCAACAAATGTTCTGTTTATTATGGAATCAGAAGCTTCGTTACCATGTTCACAAGAGTTCACACAAATCAAGCTCATACAATCACGTTTTTCTTCAATATTCATTTTATATTATCTTCCTATATAGATCTTTGACCACTATTGCATTTCTCATCTCCTCCACACTTGCTTCAAAACCCATCTATCTCACTATCCTTGACATCACCCTAATAATATTTGATGGAAGTGTACATATTATGAAGCTCCTCACTGTGTTATTTTCTCCAGCCTCCTTTACTTCCTCTCCCTTAAGTCCAAATACTATCTTCAGAACATTTCTCTTGAACATCACCAATCTATGTCCTTCCCTTACAGTGAGAGATAAAGTTTCATACCAATAAAAAACAAGGGTTAAAATACAGATGACCATCTTAAACACATACATAATGGAACTCCTATTCAAATGTTTCTTGATTTAAAGTTTTCCCTTATTTTATATTCAATTTTGATGAACCCAAGCCAAAATCCTGGCAATTTAGTGTTAAAATACACTGCTCCTCCCTTAGGAATGTTAAAATGGGGGTTTCAATGTATGAGAACAATATTTTTCTTATCCATGGTATTCACAGAATAATTACCTTGCTGCTGTGGCATTTGGTTGGTGAATATTGCAGGTACACTAGACACAACTGGAAGTGATATAGATGTTGCCACCAACCCAGGAATAGCACCCTGCTGTTGGACAAACTCTACAAAACAAGCACATTTTAATTCTTACAGCTAATAAATATAAACTGCCATGTTAATTTTAATACAAATAATGTTTATCTCTCTTGCTTAATACATATTCCATTTAATCAATTTCAAGAGTGATCACTCTAAACATAATGTGCAGATGACTCTGGTTATATGAGAAGTTTGCATTCCTGAAAAATGCAACATATATATATATATATATATATATATATAAAAAAACATAAAACAGGAAATGCATTTAAACACTGAGCACTGTGCAGCAGGGGTAGGAAAAAATATAACTGAGTTATAATAGTGAGGTGAACCTTAGAAACTGCCAGTACAACTCACAGTGCGTGCACAGCAAAAGAGAGATGAGACGAGACATTGACGTTCTTCACGTCAACGAAGTCAAACCAAGGATATGTGAAAAGATGTCAGTGTTGTATGACTATGATAGTGGCTAGTAGCATGGTGGCTATTCCCATCTTATTTGAGGTTGTGTAGTGAATCAACCTTATTTAAGATTATTGTATATCAACAATATTCTCTGATGTGTTAAAATGTGTGTCTTACTATAACTGTGGACCCAAAAAAAATAAAAATTCCAGAGAAACACATCTCCACTTATAACATGAAGTCAAAAATATATAGCTTGTCATAAAATTTGATACAGAAACATTTTCAAGAACACACCCTTTATGTGACACTCAGCGTTCAAAGACGACAACCATTTCATTTGAAAACATGGTATCCACCAAAACTTGCAGTATTGAAACTTGCGCATTTCGAACGCGCATGTGCGTTTTTCAATGGGGCATAGCTTCAGCCGCAGATGTTCCCAGTAGTGAAAAGGAAGTTGTGTTGTGCAGTAGGTGTTGAAAATGGGTCTCTCGATGGAGATAAAAGTATTCATAGTTAAGTATTATTTCCACTCATACAGAAGTGGTTGTGAAGAGGGACCATGTTTGAAAAAGGTGACAGAACAATTCCAAGAGAGATTTAATAAGACGGCACGAAGTAACACAGTTATGCTGTCTATCGTTATGAAATTTCACCGTTCTGGTAGTGTACTGTGTCAATGAAAGGGGAAGTCTGGTCAACCAGTAACTGTAACCACTACATAGTACACGTGTGACGATATGCTGTGCCGTCTCAGCACACGGTATATTAGGCCCCTATTTCACTGAGGATGAGGAAGGCAATGTTCTTACAGTCACCCAAGAATGCTATAGGGACATGCTGATCGGACCATGTCTTCAGGATCTGAGAAGGTTCGGTCGTGCAAGGGGCCTTCGTCTTGTCATTTCAGTACTGTATATTTTTGGTGCATAATTGTCAGGGATACATTAATTTTCCTGGTTCTAATCCGTACCTCCTATGAAAAGCTCAACCTTCCCTGGAATAACGTCTTGCATACTTCAATTGTTACAGTCACACAGTAAGTTAAGAATGCGCATATACATTATACAGTGCCAGGAATTTTCACTTAAACTAATAAATGATGAAGCTACCCTCTGAATACCTTGTGGCTGTAGAGTCTGATGATGCTGTAAAGTCACTAATCCAGGCTGACCCAAACTGCCTACACTCACGGTCTGGAACTGAGCTGGAAGCATAAAAGAATCAACATATTATTCAGGGTAGAAGACCCTTCTACTCTGAAGATGGAGACACCACATTCCTTCAAAAACCTGAAAACTCTATATCAGACTGCACTGTGTCACATCTCTAAAAGACAGTGATCTTTAAACAAGACATATTTTATGCCTGAAATAATTTAACATATCCACATAACGTCTGTACAATGAAAATTCTGCTGTATCTTCATTTTTACTTTACTTTACTTAATCCATTCCTCTTATACCTTATGGTGTTGAGGTTGTTCTCTCATTTTCACCATTTACAGACAGTAGGACTGCCTGGCCAAGTTATCAACTTGTCGCAAGGCCTCTACCTAAACACAGAATAAACACATACACATACCAAACATCCATGCCTTGTGTGGGATTCGAACCCACGATCCTGGCTTCTGAGTGAGTGAAGAGAGTACATGCCTTTGGCTACTCGGCTAATGTCACCGGCCTGCATCTTCATAACTTTCCAAAATCAATCTTCAAATTTGTAACCTGTCAATGCATATCAAATAACTGCAATATCCTTGCAGGTTATACTGCTACTGATAAAGACACCTGCAAATATGGTAGTGAAAGGGAGAATTATTGTTTTTACTGTGATGAGAATTTACATTGTGGCCTTCCATGTTACAACACTGTGAAGTTTTGTGGGTAGTTACTAACATTCTGGTGCTAAAATTTCAGAGTAACCTAAATATGCAGACGGCAGGTTCCTCCGAAATGTTGATAAGCACCTATAAGCTACAAAGTGTCATCATTCAGGTCACACTCTAAATGGTAACGAAGTTTTGAAGGCAATTAATAGATATTATACCCTAACGAATAATTTCTCATACAGAAACATTTATTTTTACATTTTAATGAAATCTATATAATATGAACTTCCTTTCAGTAACAAAAAAAAGTTTCTTTCACTACTGAAGAATGTCCATGTGGTATACTAACCTTGCTGCAGGGCAAGATTGTTTATTTGATGATTCTGATGATGATGCTGCTGCTGCTGTTGTTGTTGTTGCTGTTGCTGTTGCTGCTGCTGGTGTTGCTGCTGCTGCTGTTGTTGGAACTGAGCAAATTCTTGTTGCATTGTCTCTATCAAGTTAATAGCCAACTGCTGCGCAGCCTGGAGGCCTTCAAATTTTGAATGCCTGGAACATTACATACATACAAACATTCATTCATTCATTCATTCATTCATTCACTCATTCTTAGAGGGGGTGGGTTTTCCCATGCACAGCGACCAGTAGTTGATCTATTGTGCATCCCCCTTTTAATTTCTACTGTCGCTATACCCTACCAGTACTGGTGTTTGCTATCAGCCCCATTCTGCCTGCTAGGTTTTGCCCTCTTCTGGCAGTGGTATCTGATAATTAGTCCCATTCCGGCAGCGAGGTCGGCCTTCTTCTGGCAGCGGTACCTGATACTTTCCCCTATCTACCGGAGGCATTGGAAACTACTTGGGCAGGAAACTTTTGGCCTAATTTTGCTCAGAGGTCTCCTAGAGACACGAGGTTCTTTTACGTGCCGTAAATCTACGACATGGGACCTACGGCTTAAAGTCCCTCCTGGAGGACTTGTTCCCTGAATTTTTCCGCCCTCAAGAATTCCACGACCTCCGCTGGGTTTGAACTCACGTACCTTGAGTCATGAGGTGGGAATGTTATCCCTAGACTACAGAGGCCACTACATACATACAAACATTGATGTTAATTCTGTTCTTGGACTGTTACATCATGTGGATGTAGGTTATACTGCAGACCTTTCAGAGGCACATACTGCCTCCATCTTCAGGGTGTAAATACCCCAAATGGAATAAATATCAATAATGAAGCACTATGACAAAATCCAGTGACCTTGTTCAGACTAAACATAATAAACCACCATAAGAGCCCTTCAACTGTAGGTACATTCATCCTATCTCAGGACCAAAGCTTACATGCCTAACTTCAACAATTCACTATTAAACTAAAGGCTCAACTGTAGAGGTCAAAGTTTTCCATTCACAAAAGCTACCATATTTTTCAAAGTTCTATTGGCACATAACACCTGATGGTCCCATGCTAGTTCGCTAATAGTGCATGCCACGCCATAGCTCAAGCTGTTAGTCGCTGGCTTCCCACAACGGCGGCCCGGGTTCGATCCCGGGTCTGGTCAAGTGGGATTTGTGGTGGACAAAGTGGCGCTGAGGCGGGTTTTCTCCAAGTGCTTTGGTTTCACATGTTAATCTTAATTCCACCAAATTCTCCATCATTATAATCACATGGGGCAGGACACAATAGGTCAATCAGTGGCCGCCATGCCGAATGGACCCAGTTGGACTCCACCCACCACTAAGAGAATTTAAAAAAAAGAAAAGATAATAGTGAGGTCAGTGCTGCTTAAACTTCAAACAAGTCTCAATGGCCACCATGCTTTCACTGTTCATGGTAAAATTTAAAAAGAACAAAGGAGGGACCATCATTAGTGGCATGACATTCACACTGTATCTGATGAAAATCTGTCTAATAGTTCAAGTTCCTATGGACAGATATTCATGTAAGATGTACCCATCCTGTGGGCTAAAAGAAAGACTTCTTTTCTACACACACAAGCTTGTTATCATTGGGTTTACTGTGTTACGTTTCATGACATGGAACTAAATCCTTATTAATCAGTACATAAAATGTAAAGTCCTTATGCTTAACTAATTAAGCATTATGCCACGCGGACATATGGGGAGTGGATGTAAAGAGCCACATTTTCTTGATCTCAGCACTAATTGGAGGTGATTGGTCAGCTTCACGCCCCGACCGCTTTACCCCCGGGGAAAAAGACCCTGGTACCCATTGGACAGGTTGGGTGGACCCTAGAACTGGTCTGGACGATGTGGAGAAGAGAAAATTCTTGACCCTATCAGGACTAGAACTCTGATCCCTTGGTTGTCCAGTATGTAGATAGTCGCTATACTGTCTACACTATCCCAGCTCAGTACATACTCCACACAAAGATGGAGAGGCTCCATGGATTCTGCTCCTGTTGTAGGTTCTATGAAACCAGATCCTTTGCCCCGTAATGTGACCATTGCTCCTGTTTCATTGCGAATGTAGTGAAGATTAGCTCCTCCCTGCCCAATCAACTTATTTCGCAAATCAAATGTTGGTGGAGCATGCTCAAGACCAATCAAAACTTTCTCCTGTAAATGAGAAGAAAATATACAGTTAACAGTTATTAAAGATCTGAGGTACTCACAATTGAGACTAAGATTACTCTCTTCTGGAATGAGATGCTATGTAATCTGGTACATCATTACCAGCAAATTACTCTTCTGCCTTGAAGCAGAGTGTTCAACCAAAATGTTTGTAACAAAGCAACTAAATTGCATAGCATTATATTTCAGAAGACAGTAACTGATTTGTATTTAATGAATTTTAAGTTTTTAAATTTGGAATTGATCATGTCAATTTGTAAGATGCAACACATAACATAAAATAAATTATTTGAAGAGAAATGCTTGAAATGATTATGTGATCATAGTTTACAAACTGTCCTTACAACGGAAGGCATCGTGGCATGAATACTCATTAATGGTGGTGGCATATTTTGCTGAGGTGGTCCCATTTTGAATTTGCTCTGGCGACCAAGTGGTGGAAGCTGGTCCATCTGATGTTGCTGTATGATCTCCTCTATTTTCTGGACTGCCACTGCAAAGTAACCGAGAGGTTACTTAGCGTACATCCTGGAGCAATATCACTGGTATTACGAGATATCAGATAGCACATGTCATACTTCAGCCACCAACAACAGTTAAAACAAAATGAACAGCTTTGGTATAACAAATGAGAAGTAACACAAAAGCAGCATGTATGATGTTACCAATACCATCAGACAAAATTAATAATCAAATTAAAAGTTTATAAATCAACATGTTAGAAATTCTCCCTTATGACACGAAGATATTAGCAGTACACAAGACTCACATATACCACTCCCATAACAACTAGGAGTAGACAAAACAGAAGAGAAAATGTTACAACTACAAATTTCCAGTATTACTGGAATATTATGGCCAAAGTTGGTGTGATACGCTACTGGAATCTTATGGCCAAAGTTGGTGAGTAAGCCCTTCTGTAATATACACACATACACGAGTGGAACAATGACAAAACTAATATTACTATAATGTCAATAACATGGAGTTTATGGGTCAAATCAGAAAGTTAATACCAAAATTCTGAGTCTACTGAAGTGACAGTTGCAGAGTTGCTCTATGTGAGCAGTTGCATTAGAGTCACTATGGTAAACCTAATTTTACAATTCAATATATTTGTCATCAGTCCCATCCATGCATGTACACTCTAGCCTCCTGTAATTTCATTTTATATGCATTTGCCTCCATTAGTTACAATTACTGAGTTCAAATGAAAACGATTTACTAGAAAAAATATTACTGCTGAAATGAAGAGTGGAATATTACAAGCAGTAAGCACATTGTAGGACCATAATTAGGAATTCCATATTTATGACGTATTTAATTTATTTACATTTAAGTTTTATATAAACTTGGATCTCCTTAAAATAAAAGATCTTTTCTTCTTAAAGTATCTCTCTGTGAATCAATATCATTAACTCTGAAAGCAATATAAGGTTTAGTACATAGTTGAGTAATGGCTGAAGTTGTAATACTGTCCCTTGCTAGTACCCCATTCAATCACACGTGGATACATGGATACATGGAGAATGCAGATCATTTCAACATTTATAAAAGAATCCAGAAATAACATCACCATTTTTTCTTACAATCAATGGCTTGCTTGGTGGCTGCCTGAATATGAAGATACAATGGCCTCTCGCCCGGATTCCTAGTACGCTCCTCCTGGTTCAGATACCGACCACGTGTTGACACGGCAGCACCTACCAAAAGATCTCATGATGAGTAAAGACACAACATATCACTGTTTAATTCACACTATGTAATTGATGCACCTTCATTAGGCTTTGTGAAATTGTGGGAAAAATAAACCCCAGTGCATTTCAAGTATTACATTCCTGCAGAAAAGACATCAAATTCATTGACGTTCAGCAAGAATTGTTCTCTGTTGTTACGGCATACAGCAGGTATGAACTAGGAAGTCAGGCCATGCAAATATGAGAGAGACAATGAGCCATGCCAAAGAAGTGAGACGAGAATGATAAGAAGCCTGAGTTAAACATGACAACCACCCCCCCCCCACCAAAAAACTGGGAAGTGCTCCATAATGAAGTACACAGAATTCCCAATCACGATCTTAGCATTTTAATAAGCTTCTTTACAACATGCAAAATTTCTCATATTTTATGGTCTTATGCAAAGTAGGCTCTGTATTCAGTTACCAAGTGACTAACATTGTTATGCAAAGATCTGTCCTATAAATTTCACCAAAATTTAATGGTCTATGAAGTGCATAAAAGTCCATTTTTGGTCTTAAGTAAAATGGACTTTATCATGGGTCAGTATGGCTGAAAATGGGGCCGCACCATAGCTCAAGCAGTTAGTCACTGACTTGCCACCACGGCTGCCTGGGTTCGGTCAAGTGGGATTTGTGGTGGACAAAGTGGCACTGGGGCGGGTTTTCTCCTAGTACTTCGGTTTCCCCTGCCAACTTTCATTCCACCAAGTTCTCCATCATCATACTCGCCTGAGGCAGGCTACAATAGGCCAATCAATGGGCGCCATGCCGAGTGGACCCAGTTGGACTCAACCCCCCACTAAGCGAAATGGCTGATAATCGGAATTTGTTGCCAACTTTTACTGAAGGTTTCCAATATCAAATTTAAAAAACAATCTGTCCAATGGTTACATGCTGATGCTAGGACACGGACTGATGAATGATCAGGCAAGATTTCTCCATACAAGACTTTCTTTTTACTTTGCAAAGAATGCCTAAAATGTAAAGTATCTTTCACTAGAAATAACTTATGGATGTCTGAACATAATAAATATTGTATTTAGAATTAACTGTTATGTACCTGAGAACTGATTTATCTCCTCTTGTGTATGCCCTTTAGTAAGCAGATTGCGTGCAGCTATTGGGGCCTCGTTAATTTCGTATTCTGATGTAAATAGATCTGATGAGGTCCGAAAACTATTTCCTACCTGCACACAAATTTATAAATTAACATCCTCTCTACCAAGTAATGATGAGAAAAACTTAAAAAATGTAATTAAATGAACATAATGTTATTGGAATTTATTTACCTTTATGATCTGTGGGGCAGGTTGTTTTAGTTTTCCTTTTGCAATAAGTACAGCATTCACTTTGGCTGCAGCCTCACAAGCAGCTTCTAAGCTACTTCTGCTGAACATATCCCTAAATAAAAAAGTTAAATTTAAAATGCATTTCACCATGTGAACATACTATTGTAACATGTTTTGCTACTGAAGACGCAGTTCAGATTATTAACTTGTTTATTTAACAACCTACAAGTCATAACTACAAATACTTGTAACACATTTGCGTGTTTACACAATTTATACATCCTACACAATAATCTGTTCACTCTATCTTCACTAGTCTTCACTCATTCACAGTACGATATGGGAGCTATACCAGTGTCACTGTATTACACACTCCCAATAACTTCTCACACTATCACCTCTAATCACACGTTCCGGTATTCTTCACATTCACGATTTACTCGCTACAACTGAACTCGGCGACTGCTACAATTCAACTGACACCTTAGGGAGTGCAGTTCTCTTATAAACCCTCAGCCAGACAATGGAAAATGCGCCTCGCTCATCACTCTAGCAACCCCCAGACAGGACTGAACAGATTCTAACCTGAACAGGAGGGAGGGTAGAGGTTGTGGCTTCACTCTCTCAAGGTCACACAGCTGCTGCACAGTGTGGCTTCTTTACACACAAATCCGTCCCGGTCATATTTGAACCACTTTGTACTAATACGTTAAAATATTTATAAGAAAATATACAGAAAACATATTGTAATAGTGGCTTCTAATTCCATTGATATCTTTCTGATGATGGTCTATATGACTGAAACATGTTAAGGATGAAATACTGAAAAGGAGGGGGAAAAAATACTTCATCAGTCACACTGGACAGAATTAACTAACCTTTTATAATATTTTTAGTGTGATGGACCAGGATGAAACAAAAAATATACCCAGATTACAGCAGATACTGGAAATGCATTCTATCATAGTCAACAGACTCTTCAAGCATAGCACTCGGGAGGGGCTAACTGAAATGACCAAGCTCTCACTGAAGAGAAAATGCATAATATTGGTGCTAGGCTAGAACTTTCTCCTCAAAAATCTTTCAGATGTCTTGCACAGGAAAGTTCTTTCTGAAAAAGAACTTTAATGGGTGAATATGGGGGTACATATGAGAGGGCACTTCCAGCACCTTCTTGAACCTGGTACAGTTTCTTTTGTAATGTGCTATGGTATATGGTACCATATGATACCATATGGTATATGGTATCTTATTGTGGGGTAGGGATGGGGAAAGTAAAAGCATTTTTAAATTGCAAATGTGGGTTCTTCGAGTGATTAGTGGTATTAGCAGTCACACGTCATGTAGACAAATTTTTAAAGATTACAGTGTTTTAACATTGCCTTCTCTGTATATATTGGAGGTGACATGCTTTATCAAAAAATACAAGGCTTTTATGGCAATAAATTCGGACATTCATAATTATAACACACTAAGAAAATTAAATCTTCACATACAGGACTGTAATACAGTTCTTTTTAAGAGTGTGATAAATATGGGAATTAGTTTGTATAATAAGGTCCCCGATCAAATGAAACAAAGGGAAAATTTTAAGTTTAAGGTCTTTCATTCTGGTCCGTCACACTAACCAATTAACAATCAAGTTCCTTCCGTCAAATGTGACACTTTTTTAAGTTTTCCACCTCGTCACCACCTGCCTTACATGTTTCGGCTCACCACGGAGCCATCATCAGAGGCATTTATAGTAGAAAAAGAAATCACCAACACACAAAACTTCACTTTGTCCAAGATAGCCACGTTCCAGTTAATTAAAATAATTACAAATAGTTAAAATTACCCAGAGTATCGGTTCACTAAAAGTTTTTCACACACCACAGTAGCTTTCTTATTTGTTCGTCGTTACTTCTGTAAAATTATGTTTCATTATTTGAAGGTAGAAGCATCACAACACACAGACAAGCAACATCAACTACCGACAGACAACACACGTCAACAACATCCCGAAGCAAAAAGATTGGGCCAAGCGGGAAAGAATTCTAGGGATTTTAAGAATTCTTACTTCAAATAACGAAACATAATTTTACAGAATTAACGACGAATCAAATAAGAAAGCTACTGTGGTGTGTGAAAAACTTTTAGTGAACCGACACTCTGGGTAATTTTAACTATTTGTAATTATTTTAATTAACTGGAACGTGGCTATCTTGGACAAAGTGAAGTTTTGTGTGTTGGTGATTTCTTTTTCTACTATAAATGCCTCTGATGATGGCTCCGTGGTGAGCCGAAACATGTAAGGCAGGTGGTGACGAGGTGGAAAACTTAAAAAAGTGTCACATTTGACAGAAGGAACTTGATTGAAAATTTTAACCTATTTAAAAAGGAATTAAAATCTTTTTTGCTGAAACATTCCTTTTATTCTGTAGATGAATTTATGTCTTTTGATTTTTCAAGTGTGTAAATGTAATATATAGCTGATTAATTTGTTGTATTTGTGTAAAGAGACTGAAATTAATGGTAACTAGATTTAGATATTATACAGACGACAAACCCCCTATTAGGGTGGTACAGTGTATACTGTAAAGATGTGCACGAGAATTAGATGTAAAACTGACAATTTCCTTATCCAAATGGTTGTAATACCTGTATGTATGGATTGTTGAACGATAATAAATGATAATGATAATGATAAAAAATATCCCGGATTTGGGCTCCTTCAGTAACTAATCAGACGCTGTCATCTGCAAATACTTTCAATTGCAGGCATGTTTTATATATAGACTACGGCTTTAATCCTAAAGCAGTGCATTGTTATTTACCATTAGCGTCATTAGTATGGGCTTTTAATTATTTACACTTTAAACGCTTCCAAGTCAACAATTACAGCACAGGATGTACACCATGTATCAACAAAGAATATTAATTCATTAATTACACTCACCATCGACAAATTATTTGAAAACCTCTTCCATAAAAAAATAATGACTTCTATATTTCTGAGGGTTTATAAAGGGTTCGGTTCAAGCAACTGTTACTACTTAAACTCTAGTGTAAGTGTTTCCAAATATTACCACAGTAAGGATTCTGTGCTTCAAAATTAGAAAATCCATTTACCAATAAAACTTCCGTAGCCATTTTCCATACTAACATTCACGAATCAATCAGGATCGCCAATGTTATACCATATACAGACAAACATTATCACACGTAGTAAAATGTCCTTACTGACACTAAAACACTGAATTTAGGAAATAATGCAAAACAGTCTATTTATTTCCAGAGAAAAGACTTATATTAAACATCACTGTTACGGCTCAAGATTAAGTTAAATTAATTAACCTGAAATTCTTCCAAAAAAAGGCATATCGCTACACTCGAGTAGCCCCGTAGTCACACTTTCTCGAATTCAGTTGTTTCACAATATTCACACACGTTCATGCCAGTATTGCGTGGTCGTCTTCTTTTTATTATTATTATTATTACTGTTTGATTGTATGCCACGACCTACCATCTGAATTTAAAGTACTATGGATGTATTTTGGTTGAAGTCCGTTAGTTCATTACTATTTACTTCGAAGTAGGCGGTAGGAAAGTTCATGATAGCCTATATGGGCCAAGGTTATGTATGAAACTGTGTTTATTTGAATGTTTAATACGTCTTATCAAATAGGCTGTGATTTAATGTTATATGTAGGTGTCAAGAGAACGCCAAGACTTTATAATATAAGACATTGCAGCTCACGTAAGTAAGCATTAGTGTCCTATATGTTTGTTATACTGTTGTAAGATAACCTGTCTGCCCCTGGAAGGTGATAGAACTGGGTGGTATTCGTTTGCTTGTTCACATTTTTAAAAGAAGACTAACAGAACTTTTTTTTTGTTCCCAACCAAAGGGTTAGGGTTATGCAGACCATATTCAGTCATTCTTAGGGTTGAAAGGGATGGACGGTCGATATGTCAGTATATGTAAATGAATTTGCCGTGTTTCCATTAACAGTTAAATTATTCACGAATAAAATAGGTCTCTAAAAGACTGCCTCAACAATCCTTCAAACCTTGTTTGCATCACTGTAAAATTCAAGCTGTAGCCAAAATGAAAATATTGGTCTGTCTGTACTACTTTCATAATATGCTTTAATCACAAAACCGTCTTACGGTACATATGTTATATAGTCAGTGATGAATTTCTTTGATAAGTTTAAATATTTGTCAACATGTGTGGAATGATATATCCATGTATACATTCATCTTGATAATGTACAGTGTTTATTATTAAAAACATAACTTACAACTAACATGAACCATGTAGTGTAATTTGCAGAAGTAAGCTGTAGAATCAAGTCAATGTTGGGTTTCACTTTTCAGTTTTTTGTAGTAAGTCTTGCTTTAGTTTGTCTGGATGCAGAATATCCTTTATGTGTATAGTGGATGTCTAGAATAAATGTAAAACACTGTGCTGCCTAATAGTACTTACAGTTTGATCATATTTTTTTACAGTAGTTGTATAGATTACAAGACCATTTTATAAACATGCATCTATGGGAATACTTCAAGTTTGTGAGCTCTGAGGAAAACGTTGTAAATGTGTGTAACTCCAGGTTGCTGTTTAAAATATCCTTTATCTTTTAATGAAGACAGTAAAGGAAAGTAAGACGCATTACAAAAACTAGCCTGTTTTTCAACGAGATCAGAAATGTAAAAAATATGTAAGTAATAAGAATGTAGACTGACCTCAGTACTATTTGGAGAGCGGTCAGCTTCACACTTCAGCCGCTTTGCCCCCCACCCGCAGGAAGGAACTTATCGTACCTGTTTGATCAGAGGATGGATTGGCCCCAGTGCTAGTTTCAGTGACCAGAAAAATTCCTGTCTCTGCTCAGAATCAAACCCTGGTTATCCACTCAGGTTTACTGTTAAATTTCACAATCCCAATCCTATGCCTGATTCTTTAACCAAATATAAATTAAATTTGCTGGTGTGTTAGCTCAGATTCATTTCAATTTATGACTGAATGCAGTCCTTGTAGCTAAAGAACAAAAAAACTCTATGGCTTGAGTCCACAAACAAACTATACTGACCAAGTGACTGCCGCTTGTTGGCGAAGTTAGTGCATACTTTAGCAGATAGAGGGTGTCGCATGGTCAGCACAACAAATCTCCACGGCCCTTAATTTCGTTATTCTAGACTGGAGCTGCTATTTTTTTGAAATAACTCCTCAATTATCCTCGCAAGGCTGAATGACCACTGTTCCAGACCCACCAATTAGAAAATTTGTTTGTGGCTTAAGAAAGGACATGAAATCAGAGAAATAAAATTAGTAAAATCAGCTACAGTAGTCTCCATGAGTACAGCTAGAAGTAGTGTTACTCACCAATCACTCAGTCATGTACGTTAGTTGTTAAAGGGAACGTAATCATGGTTCAGCCATTGGACATGTTCCCTTTTCCAACCAGCCATTTCGATTATATTGCAAAGTTCCAGGAGGAATGTAGTATGATGATGATGATTATTTTTTTTTATGAAACAAGAACAGAAATGTGTTCTTATTTTAAGTAATATAAATTAGGACTGCCTAATTATGGTTAATTATTGTTTTATAGAATATTTTATGGACTGTATGTGTATGTATACACACATGCGCATGCAGAACATTTGCCTGTGTGGAGGTGTGTTAGGGTACCTCCACTGCAGCCCTTGTGGGTCGTAGAAGGTGGTGAAAAGGGAAGCTAGTGCCTGTGGTATAACTGGGCCACCCTAACAATTCTTGCAGAATCTTCTGAGGATTACTATGGCTCAAAAATGTCTGCTATGCCTATTATTGTTGTTGTTGTTGTCGTCCACAGTTCTGCAGTCAGATATTGGGGTAATGTCCTATATATGGACATAACAGTTTCTTTCTACATCTTTCCCCATTTTTCATTCGTACACAGTCGTCCTACCATTTGATGCAGCATAAAATAAACTAAGAATAATAAGATTTGTTAAGGAATAAATTATTTGTTAGTGATTTGAAATTAAGTCTTAATTCAGTGAACATTGTTTATGCTACATGTTACTGTTTGTACAATTACAGCATAGCCTTTTAAACCTGTTATTGTCCAATGTCAAATCTAAACATAACACTTGGCAGAGTTCCAGTCTAGTGTTTGCTAAGTGCTACGGATTAAGCCTGATGCTCCCTTGAAGCCAAAAATAGGTACTTAACTTTTCATTACCTTAACTACACAGTGAGTTGACAGGACACCATTATGAGAAGAGTGAAGTTCCTTGTAGTATAGCCACAGTTTCACCTCTTTATCCTTTGCTCATACTGCTAGTTCAACATCTGCTTATTTAGTCTTGTGCCATTACTACAGCTATCAGACTTTTTGCCTGAAGGTTTATATCATGTTACTTATTATTTGTGGTTTGTTTTAAATTCTGTTTGCATTGCTCTTTTCAATGGAGTGCTGTATTTAGTTAAAAGATTAACACGTGAGTGCTGTAAAGTATAATGGTGTAACCTTATGTACAAAATAAACATGACTGTATCAGAAATTGAGTACACTGTTATTGTGTTGATGGATGCTTTATTCATTTAGCATTAGGTCGTACACTGCTAATCTAAGATTTCCATTCTTACCAGATTTCCTCTACTTGATAAAATGGATTTATGCATATGAAATGTACAAAAAAAAGTTTAAAAATATTATAATAATAATAATAAATGTTTGTAAAACATATTTTGAAGCTGATAGACTGCGGCAATAGATGTGTGTCCCCTTAGTAGGCACCTCATTATTATTGGGTTCTGCAACTATTTCTGACAGTTAGTAACCTGATTGATTTTGTATTATCATTATTAGCCTTTAGTGCTTGTTATTACCATCAAAATACTTTGTTATGCATGCTGTATTTCCAGGAATGTTCTGCAAAATGCTGCAGTATTGCCATTACTTTTCTCTGAAACTCTCAGTAATACAAAGTGAGATTCTTGCAATAAAATTTTGGGTTTTGGGAAACTGAATAAATTATGTGGGCCAAGCCTCTCAAAAACAGTGGTTGTCTCATGTGTGGTACAAATAAATTTTGAAGAAATCCCAGCTAGGGCTGGTTTAATCATGCTATATCAAAACAAATTCAGACATTTATAATGAATTCGCCCTAAGCTTTTGTGTGTTGCGTGGGGAAATGGATTTGTGATTTTGAATGAAAATATTGTGACATGTTGCGCAACGGACAACCCCTCCCTTCCCCAGCAGTGACAGTATATTAAAAATTATTAATTTACAATAGGTTACCTTTTAATGTGACTTATTTTTAGTTACTCTAAAATACTTGCAGTCCTTTTCTTGTAATGTTTTGTACATTTAATGACCCTGTCAGTAGCTCAGGCTATATAGTGTTGGATGGTGGCATGCTAAATGAATTGAAAGGATCTGGAAAGAAGGGGTCATAGTCTAATCAAAGTACTGTTCCGGCAATCGCCTGGAGGGACTGGGAAAAACCTTAGTCTGAATTTCCACCTTCCTTTCCGAGATCTAAACCTAGCACCTCAGAAATACAAGTCTGGAGCATAACTGATAGTTGTACCAACAATCATGCTGGTGTACTTTACAAGAATGAATGTGAAATGACAACATTTATCTTGCAGAAAATTAATAAACGTAGTGGGGAGAAGACTGATCATGGTATTATTCATTGTTTTCTTCCATACATCCAGTTTTCTATTTCTTTAAGTGTGTGATGTCATTGCTATTTTCTGGTTCTCTTCATCTGGCGATTAAGCCTCTCACTTTCGGTTTTCCCAGTACTTTGTAATAATGTCAGTTCCAGTTGGCAGAATTTCAGGTATTTACATATTAATAGGTGACCCAAATGACTTTAAAATTTACCTCCATGTTGTCCACCAATTTAGCCTTGCCGGCTTTCGAAGTTTATTTGTAAAAGCAAGATCTAAGCCTAACTTTAGAATTTCTCTCCAATGAATCTGCAAGGTTATGTTTTTGGTTATGTTTTTAAAACCTGAAGCTTTTTAGGCTGTTTTGAAAAGGTTAGACCTTTTGACTTCATATTTAGTACTAGAAGTAAATTTACCAGTTTGTTTTTATTTGAAGTTTGTAATTTCTTTCCAGATGGGGAATGGAGTCAAACCTTGTAGCAGAGTTTATAGCAGAGACTGGCGCAGACAAGACTGTTGCTTACAGTTATTTACAAGGTTGGAATTTTATATTTTAGAATTTGGTTTGAAGTCCTCACTCCTTAGAATGTGTAGAGCTTGACAAAGTAAAAAAGGTTTTGGAAGTGAAGTATACCATGCCTCCAGTATGCTTTGGATCCGATATTATACTCTCCTTACTGCTAAACATTATCTTTGTATTTACTGTCAGTCTATCATGAGAAGTAAAATAGAAATCTTGTCCTATGAGTGCTGAACATAACAAGAAATCAGTTACATTATTGCCAAACTGAACTGCTCACTAGTTAGTTAGAATTATATCAGGCTTTGAACATTAAGATTTAACAAAAAGAAAATAGGTATAATGTTTTTATTGTTTTTGTTTTATTTCAGCAAAGGGATGGGATTTGAATTTAGCTCTACAAGCTTATGCATATCTCTCCGGAGAGTCATGTGGTGGTGGTGGAAGTGGCGGTGGCGGAGGCAGTGGCACCAGACTATACACCAGCCGGTGGACTGCTCCTGTAACCGAAGAAAATGGAAATTTAACCAATGCCCATCGGTCTTTCTCCAGACCAGCGCTTCAAAAAGCAGATGCCATCGATGTAGCCGATAGTAAATTGATATATATCCTTTTTTTCTTTCACATCACCTATCATAGCAGTGTTTCTCAACCAGTGGGGCAAAAAGTGTTTTGATCCTTCTAACACACAAATGATAAAGAAAATACAATGAAGCAAAGATAACTTAACGTAAATTTTTTAACAGTAATTACATTATATAGGATCTGAGTTTCTCACAGGAGTATTTCATCTTCTGGGATGTAATGCCATGTAGTCTGTTGTATGTCAGCTGACTATTCTGGTTGATAGTTGCTTTGTTCTGGTTCTTGTTTGGCTTACTCCTAGTCATTAAACATATAGGTGACATGTTCCTCGAAAATGTCAGTTCGCTTTTGGTGGACTACACGGCATTATATCCCAGAAGATGGAACTCATAATAATTACACTACCCACAGTAGTAGGCACTAATCACTGGCACAGAAAAGTTGCAGAATATTAAAACTTCTACAGAATCATTAGTATGGGTGTCTTTAAAATGTTGAGAAGTTTCCTAAACGAGAATAGTACATGGAAACCTGCTAGTTTGTTACTGAACAAATTATACTGTGTTGTTTGTCAAAGATAGAGAGACCTGATGACCTGTGGATAAGGAACTATGTAGAAGGTCTTGGGTCCGAAATCAGCCAAATCCATTGTGGATTTTTCTGCATGCCTTCCCTTCTCAGCCTGACAAAGTGTAATCTTTGTACATAAGATGAATATCAGACAGCCACCATGGTTTAAATTTCACATCAAGCTGTAATTCCTCTGCTTGCCATTATCATCATATTCATTATCATTCTGTAATTCACTGTAATGAGTACTGGGTTTTGTCTTCAGGAAGTTTGGATTACTTCCTTCAACTTGGCCAGGGGGTACAGGCTGTGATAGTCAATGACCATACCCAGGAACATAAATAACAGTGACAACTTGCAAACAAAATGGTATACATGTGTAGCTAGGCTTCAATAAATTATTATTGAAAGATTAGGTGTTCCATTAAAACAATATAAAATTCACTTACTAATTCTTGAGTAACATGCCACTATATCTTTGTTACAGTATCAGTCAGATAAATCTTGTTAGGCGAATCATTATTTATTTTATTGAATGAAACCACGAAGGCACTTTGCTTCCAAAATCAAGCTGTTGATATCTAAGCCTGAATTCAATAATATTGTATGCTGCTCTTGCAGCTGGGAAATATCATTTATTATAAGAACAAAGAACTGGTACATCAGGAATATCCTATGTGTATTGTAATTAGTGCGCAGTAGATTCATTACATGAAGAAACTCCAAGTTTGTTCACCAACCAAGCTGACAGTTTTCGCTCAAAACAGACATCAGTACTTGTTCTACTGAAATTGAAATTTAGTTTATGTAACAATTGTTCCAGTCAAGAAGTTAACGAGGGGCATATCCAGAGCCACAGACAATGTGAATTTGGTATCAAGAGCTCGCTGTGACATTGCTCTAGATTTCAAAGAGAATGCAGTATGCAGTGTAAATCAGTTTTTCATAGAAACTCCAGTCTACACATTCACACTTCCAGATCTGACAATATATCCTGGTAAGTATCAAGAGGAATTGAATTTGATGTGTTTTAATTGTGAAATCAATCATGTAAACAGTTCCTTCAAGAGTCTTTCATGAGGATGCTCTGATGCAATCGGAGAGCTAACAAAGTTTACACAGTGTCAAGTTCTTAAGTAATAACTTAGAAACAAACGTGTGGAGTTACTTAATTACCACTCAAATTATTGACGGTGTTCTTCATACATTATTTATACCCACATGAAGGAAGCCAAACAGACTTAAAATAAAGATTTTTCCCATATTTTTGCAAATATGAAATATGTTGCAATATTTGTTAGATTATTGTGTTCAGTGTTTCTGTGCAGCCTGTATATATTTCATATGCTGTTAGGTGTTAATTGTATGATAACATGAATTGTGAATTTGAGCCAATTTTTAGTCATCCTTTCTCAGATTTTTAAAACTCTGATTTATTTACAAAACGTATTTAAGAGACACCCTTTGGAAAATATTACAAATTTACAGTTCCATATTTTTTCATTGGTGCACAGGTTAGAATATGAAATTCTCTCATGGATATCTTTAAACATCTTACCAGTAAGGTGGAAAATTCAAGAATTTTTTTGGCTTTGTCTGAGACTGTTTGAAAACGAACACTTTTGTTCTTTTCCATTTTCCCATTTCCCTAGATGTTATGAGTTGCAAAATGTAGAAGAAAAATTGACCTACCTCAAATTAATATAACTTTTCTAGAACTTTTTAATTTTTGGATGGTGACTGCTTTTGTCTTTTGAGATCGTAATGGCGTCTTAAAATGCCTTCAGAATCATTATAGAGAGGTTCTCATGAACTCTTATATCGTATGATTGTTTTTCAGATGTTTGACTACATATGTACTCTCACAGTAATTAATAAGATCTGTCACATACAGTTCCGCATGTGTTCTGTACCAGAGTGAACAGAAGAATTTTGAAAGTCCGAGGACCTAAATATTTGTAAATGTTCTGGTATTTTATTTATTTATTTATTTTTTACTTTTCATTCTTTCATGATTTTATCAGAGGATTTTCGAGGTTTCCTGGAGAAAGATCTAATCGAGATGTCAAGTTTGATATCTTTGGAACAGTCTGGTCGTCTTAATTGGTGGGCGGACACTGGTGCATGTCAACGGCTATGGCCATTAGCAACCACTGGTGATGGAAATTGTTTGCTTCATGCAGCATCTTTGGGTAAGAATTTGTGCATTCACACAGATGCATCACTGAACTAAATTTGGTTGAGGCACTATGCTACAAGCCGGAAGGTCGCGGGATCAAATCCCGATGAGGTGGATTTTTTCAATTTACCTAATCCTTCCAGCCGCACTATGGCCCTGGGGTTGACTCAGCCTCTAACACAAATGAGTATCAGGAATATTCGTGGGGGTAAAGAGCGGCCAACTCGTAAGGCTGACAACCTTACCACCATCTGTGAGCTGACTGTCTAGAAAATGTGGGAGCCTCAACATCTGACAACCCTATGGGCCTCCATGGCCTGTTACAGGGATACCTTTACTTTTACATTTATTTTTTTTTTGTACAAGTAGAAAATCAGTAATTTGTTGTGAACTGAATAGCTATAGTTACATTTTCAAGAGGAGTAATGTAGATTTTAGGTTTATTTCCTCATATGAAACAGTAGTGTGCCCCGCTTCCCTTGAGATGCATGTTGGTGGTAGTTAAGTTCATAGTTACATATTTTCATCAACAGCAGGAGGAAGTGCCAATAGTTATGTTACATTCTGGATAAAAATGTACTATTGCAAAGCATTTCATACAAAGTTGGGTACTTTTCTCGATATTGAGAAATGTTTGAACTGAAGTTGTAGATGAGATCTGTGTTTTAATATTACGTACAAATGTTTGTATGATGTTCCATTTCTGAGAACATAAAATTTTTTATTAGAGCTCCATGTAAACAAGAGTTTATATTCAACTAATATGAACCAGAACTCAATTTTATGAAAGAACTATTAATACGGATCCAGGTATCAAATTTATTTGGAAGGTGATTAGTTTCAAAGGTGAAACATGGATGTATGAGTGTACAGAGAGACAAACATGATCTCATTGTATGTTGATTTAAGGCACATTGTACAAAAAGGAAACACATAGAATTTAATTATTTAAAAATAATCTTTCCTGTAAATCAGGCATGTGGGGTTTCCATGACCGCTTGCTGACACTGCGCAAAGCTCTCCATGGATTTATGACTGGCAGTGAATGTCGAGAAGCACTGTGGAGACGCTGGAGATGGCAGCAGACAAGATTGAATAGTGAGGCAGGGTTTGTTTATTCAGAAGAAGAATGGAGGAAAGAGTGGGAAAGTATTGTTAACATGGCATCTACTGAACCAAGGAAGCAGGAGAGTGGCCGGAGACGCAGCATGATCTTTGATAAAAATGCGTAAGTCTTCAAAGTGGACGTTAACAAAAGGTATTGCTACCAAAGCACTGTATACATTCCCCATCCTAGCTACATGCCAAGCTCCATGTGGCCTCTAAAATTTCACTCTCCTGACCATGCTAGATAGTGGCATGCGTAAACTGCATTATGTGATATTGTAAATTGTTAAAATAATTTACACTTCTGGGATTCAGATGCTTTCCTGAATACATTGTTTTTAAGCATTTGTAACTTAAATTCATCTCTCAAAGACTACATTTTGCACCATACCAGCAGAGTTGTTTTGTGTCTCCTGACCTTCTGTGTTAAGGAAAGTACACGGGATGATAATGACTTTGAAACTGAATAATCACAAGCATTTAAAGAATTTAGTTTCCTTGTAATTTCTTCGTAAACAAAATTGTAATGCGGTTATACAAATGAAATGGTAAACCACATTAAAAGAAACAGAAAAATGTCATACTGACGAAAGTAAACATTTTGAGAGAGGCTAATTGAGTAATGAGTATAGACATTTTGTGAGGCACATAGTAATAAGGATTCACTGTATTTGTAATGTGTGTTCTTTAGGGATGAAGTTTCAGAGAACGCAACTTATGAAAGCCTGGAGGAAGTCCATGTACTGGCACTGGCTCATGTTTTGAGACGACCCATCATTGTTATTGCCGACCTTATGCTTAAGGTAAATATTCTTAGCAGACCCCCCCCCCTTTGAGGTATGCTAAGCAGAAAATTTGTATACGATGGGGTACCCAAAAGAAACCGAACTAATTTTTTTGTGGTCAGAGCTTTTGTAGTACCGCGTTTTGCCTCTATGAGCGCATAGAGCTAACATTCGTGAGTCGATAAGCCGACTGCCGTTGCTTCAGAAGGTAAGGACTAGTTTCGGCAGAGTTTATAGTGAGACATGAAAGGAAAAAACGACGGAGACACTGTTAAGCATCTCAAAAGATGAATTTAGACAATGTTTTGAAAAATGGAATAAAAGACTAGACAAGTGTATTAGTGTAAGTGGAGAGTACTCTGAAAAGGATTGAAGGTTTGTGCTTAAAATTTGAATAAATAAGTTTAAAAAAATAAGTTCGGTTTCTTTTAGGTACGCCCTCGTACAGTTTGATTTTATATGTGTATAGTATTTGGTAAGTCATCTTTCATGTTTTTGCAGTTGGTATTTTAATAGAATATGTATTAGTACACTTTATAGGTTGTCATGGACAATATTTTGATGACAGAATCTTTGTAACAATGTTGATACCTATGGAACTGTTCGGGAATGAATTAACAAAGTTTTTTGTCTGAAATGTTGAGTGAAAATAAAGAATGATTTGAAAAGAATGCCCACATACAGTATTAAAAGAGTTACATTTTCTGCAGTGCTAGGCTTACGGTGATAACTTTTGTTTTCAAATTGAAAGAAACTCTTGAAGACTTAAGCGTGGGCATCATACATCACACAGTGAAGTTCCAGACAATTATCAATACTTGCCTTAGCATATATGTTGCAGTGGTATAAACTTCCTCGTTGTAGATATGTCAGTAATTCCCTTCTCAGAGAACAGTTATGCAGAACTTTGCTTGACATACTTGCTTTGGGAATATCACCACTGCAGTGTGAAAATGCCTTGTTTCCAGATTCTGAAATTGTAATGCTTTACAGTATTATTTATGTCAATAGTAGCTTCTTCAGAATAAATTTCTTTTACTTGATGGTCACCATTTAATTGATCTTTGATTTTACGAGCTGACCCTCGTTGTGACATCATGTTACAGAATCAGTACTTTCAGATTCTTGACATGTGAAAAGGATTACCATTCCATTTATTTCTTCAAATATAACTTCTTGAAATATGGGCATTTTCTGACAACTGTGTAGTATTTCATGACACTTTAGATGAAATAATCTGTGTTTTCATGTTATAATTTGGTTAGAAAGGTAATAGATGGGCTGCTTTTATAAATAATAAAGATATTTTGAGGTGTATTAAAATTTCATCCACATGCCTAGAATTGAAGTCCAGATTTTTTATTTTCTCACAGAGTTTATGTCATAGATTAAATTTTCATCCCTTGAATTTTAATTCCATATGCATGACAAACCTTGAGACATCTTCTGCCTTCATGCCCTTGCTAAATGGATGAACTGTACCATAAGTGCTAGTGTCAAAAACCTTATTTTAGTCTTTGTTTTTCACATCCTCTTGATCCATGCAGTAATTTCACTGCCATATGGAGAAGAAAACTTGATAAATACATAAGAAATTGTAGAAGTCAGTTGTATGTACACTGGTTTGAATTTATTTCAAATTAAATGAACTGAAGTTATTTTTCTTTTAATTTTCAAATGTTTTATGTTAGGTAACAAAGCCTTTCTGAATTTAACATGAACTGAGAAGTGACATAAAACCATATCCCTGTAGGATGTGAATGGTGAAGATCTTGCACCAATCCCATTTGGAGGCATATACCTGCCACTGGAGTGCCCTCCTGCTGACTGTCACCGTTCACCACTTGTCCTCACATATGATGCAGCTCACTTCTCGTCTCTGGTAGTCATGGAGAAAGAGACATTTGCAGATAGAATGCCTCAGCCTCCAGGTAGGCAGAAATTGAATATTTGGATAGCAAAGGTTTATCATGATGGAAGAACTGTAATGTGTTTTATGCTTTAAGGGTTTAATCTAGAAAGAGACCTGGTGGCTGCAGTGCAACTTACCAGACTGTCATACACAAGGTTCCACTTTCAGTTGAAAATTTATGAATGAGTAACTTGTTCTTTTATTTTGTAGCTGTGATCCCCGTGACAGACTCAGACCACGAGTTACTTCCAATTCAGTTCAGCGTAGATCCTGGTGAACAGTTTGTATGGGGAAAGGATGACATCAATCCACAGCTTGTTTCCAAACTAGTCCTCTCAAATCGAGACAAATTGGGTCTCTTACATGGGTACCTGGATATTGTAAATGTATCGATCCCTCCTACACCCAAGTCTGAAGAGAACGGTGAATTTACATCTGAAGTGGAGTCAGATGGCATCAACAGTCAGTTGAATGATGAAGATGAAATTGATAAAAAATTTGCTGAAGTACTGGAAATTGACACAACGGATGATATAGGTCTCAGTTCATCTGAGTCAAACATGTTTGGTACAAACCGAAGCAAGGCTGCGAAACAACTCCAATCAGTAAGTATTTGTGCTCACAAACTGAATCATGGGAGACCAAACCACAGTGCTCCAGGATTGTAAAGGTAATAAACTGTGAGATGAGTGGGAAAATATCAGTAAGATTTCTTTGGGAATCAGTGGATTTGAACACTTAACCAAGGGATATCTTAAACAGAGGAAATTTAAGACTGAGGTTCTTGACTTAGTATCATTGAAACTGAACGTTAAATGAGGAAAGATTTGAACTCAAGGAACACTAAAGGGGGTTTCACTGTATATGAATATCGCATTCCTGAACAGTTCACGTTAAAAATTGTGATTGTAATCAAAATGTTAAAAAAATCTGATAATAATTCAGTGTAGAGTGTTGCATGTATAGTATCGTTGGAGATGTTATTAAAGTTAATGTGTGATTATATAAACTATGTGTTGAACCATTGGAGTTTTTTGAATTGCCTCATTCCATATTATTTGCTGAGAAGTGTGTGTTCACTCTAGAATGATAGGGGGATATACATAATAAACTGAGCAAGAAGCAATCATCTGGAAAGAGATGAGGAAACAGTTGACACACATAAACCTATACATAAATGTTATTTGTTCACATAATGACCTGTTTGGGTAATTTGCGATTTCATGTGTCAATAACTTCTTTATTCCCAAATACTTAAATTTTGCTACATCTTCAAAAGGTTTATTAAATTATGATTCTGTCCTGTGTTTCAGCAATAGGATATGAGCATACACTTCCTTTTTCTGTTTGTATTTCTAAACCAGTCACGTTGTTAGCCTCTGGTAGTTTTCTGCAATGTTGTTTCTCATTTTTGTTGTTTAAACTTAGTGGTAATATCTGTGATGTGCTGTTCTAGGTTGCAAAACAATTTGGTAGCATTGGTAAATCAATGAGCAAGAAGTTGAAAAAGAATTTGGGAAACATCACCAAAATAACAAGAAATAATTCACAGAAGAAAAGCAATGGAGCAGGAAGTTACGTACCATCAAGTCCTGTTAGGCAGACTACTAAACTGAACTCAAACCTTGTTTCAAAGTCACAAGACTACATCTTATGTGCTGTACTACATACTGAGAAACGGCACGAGTTTCAGGAAGAGATGGTTCGTAATTACTTGCAGTCTGCACGCGAGAGATTCCAGCATGACAAAGATCTCAAGCTGAAGCAGGCTGAAGAGCGTAAACAAAAAGAAGAACAGAAATTGAAGGATCTGGCATGTGTTGAAGGCCCATCGCAGTGCATCAATCCTGGTTGTGATCAGTTTGGCACTGCTCTTACTAGTTACATGTGTAAAGCATGCTTTGAACATCAGCGTGATCAAGAACTGACCACCATCAACTCACCATCCTTACCTCGGGCCAACAATAACATGGACTCCTGTGCACCACGGTATGGCATTGGCAAATCTCGTTTCTACACTGAATCTGACATCAATTCCCATAATACAATCAGTAGGCTTCCTTCTACACGTGTGGGAAGTAACATAGACCAGACTCTGTACCTTTCAAAATCCACTTTTTATAATGATGTTATATGTTCATCTACCTTGACTGATAACCGGGGTTTGTATGGCTTGTCAGGACAGGAGCAAACAGCAAAAAGTGGGGGAGGGTATGAGAATGCTAGGAACACAGGGCAGGAGCTTGGTGTCAGACTGGGGGCATACATACATGAGCTTAGCCCAGCCATGACAAGGCAAGAACCAGGGATGAACTTTCAGAACTCTAATTTTGGTAGACAAGAATCAAATATAAGTTGGCAGGATGATGCTCTTATTAGTGGAAGTGCGAATATAGGCCGTAGTGTAGCAAGCAGACATAATATGACGACGCTCTCTGGCAGGTACAGTTATGGTTATAATGTTACGCCAACTACTCAGGACATTATCAGTACTGTTGCTCCCTCGTTAAGACAAGATGGTGTGGCACTGACGCAGCAAGATCAAGCAGGAGGTGGGAGCAGTGCAACACAGAGGATTCACAGCTATAACTTAACACGGTCTTGGGACTCTACTTCAGCTGGGAGCAGAACATCTGACAAACCAGCAGCACTAGGCAGAGCTGGAAGCCAGCAGGAATTTAGCCATATTTCAATGGTAAGACTTACTCTTGTGGTGTATGTGTATTTTGTTACCAGCTTATATTAATTTAATCTTAGTTTTTCTCTTTTTATTGTCAAGGAACACTGTCAACTGGCCTGTCATATCTGTCATAATGATTGCAGAAACAGTAAATAAGAAACATTTCAGTTTGGTTGTTATTTCTTTATATTTGAAGAGTCCTAGGTTTGTTCTTGGATTGGGGCCAGTGATCCTGATAAAGGCTTTTCCTCTGTCTTGCAAGGCAGATTCTGGGATAGTGCCTACAAATACACCACAGTTTTTTTTCCTTGGCACTACAGCCCCAGTGGGCCTAGGCCTACCTCCATGAACTTCTCCGTTCACTTCGGTTTTTCTAGATCTTAGACATACGGTAGGACTCCTTGGGCGGGTGATCAGCTCATCGTGAGGCCTCTACCTGTACACAAACACAGAAAAATGCACAGAAACATCCATGCCCTGAGTGGAATTCGAACCCATGAGCGAAGACAGTGCATGCCTTAGACCACTCGGCTACCGTGACCGGCACACCACAGTTAGCCTCCTTAATTATCTTCGACAATCATCATCCCAGTCTGTGTTACATAACATGCGCAGCTGAGAAAATATAATTTCATAAATGAAGAACCAGAAAGCATATTGATGGTGTTCAAGCCCAGAAGTCAAATTTGTGCAGGCATAATCATTATATCTCTTTTAGTTTAGTTTAGTTTATTTTATAAGCAAAGATAGCTTTACTGAATCTTCATATCTATATTTCTGCTCCCCTTATACCTTTCACCACATTCTTCAAGGAATAATTCTTCTGACAACAAGACATGAGTATACATGTAATTAATCAAGTGGTTAGTCGCTGGCTTCCCACTGCAGCTGCCTGGGTTCAATCCCAGGTCTGGTCAAGTTGGATTTGTGGTGGACAAAGGCGCTGGGGCAGGTTTTCTCCAAGTACTTCGGTTTCCCCTGCCAATCTTCATTTCACCAAATTCTCCATCATCATAATCGCCCAGGGCAGGCTACCACAGGCCAATCAGTGGCCGCTGTGCCGAGTGGACCCAGTTAGACTCCACCCCCCACTAAGTGAATTTAATTTAAATTACATGTAATTAATATTTAATCAGCTGTTTTAAGATTTGTTTAGGATTTTCATCTGTACTACTGTATTATTTTTCAGTATCAGAGCCAAAACTTGGTGGACTCAGGGAGCCAAAGACCCCTCCCTCGGTCTACAACAGCAAGTGGTTCCCTGGGGACATCCACTTCTGCTCGCAATGTATCTGTTGCAACACTGAGCCCACAATCTAGCAATGATCTGCCAAATGTAGAACGAGTTGGTCGTGATAGCACCAGTTTGACTTCACGTGTTTCTGGTGGGATTCGACTCCCGATTACAGGTGCGCAGCCTTGTCGGACTAACAACTGCAAGTTTTTCGGAAGTGCAGAATCTGACTATTACTGCTCAAAGTGTTTCAAAGAGCAAGTGCAGAGTGGTGTTGTCAAAAGCCTTAAAGTTCAAGAAATGAAGAGATAATGGGACTTTTTTATTCATATACAGGAAGTGTGAAATGTAGATAAGATGATAAGTTTGGATATATATTCACATTTGAGCCACATTCTGGATTGTAGAAGCAGATTATATGAAATTAATTTTGATCTATACTGTAATATAGATTTTTTTTTTATGATGGAAAGATTGTAACATTTTATTTATAGAAGTATTGTAAATATAATTATAACTCCAGAAACTAAACTCGCAAATTCATCGTTGTCCATATGCATCGAACATCACAGAATCACCATTCACGTCTAATAATTCTAAAAGTGCACGACAGTGTCCTTGCAAAGATTTTCAACCAACATTGTGCTTCCTCCCAAATGTTTAGGGTGTCCAGTTTGTAATGGCTGGGTTCATGTCCATCTGCAGCTAAAATCAACCAAGATAAGCTTTAATATTCCCATAAACATTTTTTATTATCTCACTATAAATAGTTACCCATTAATATTAATAAGTAAAAGTAAAGTTGCCCCTGTGCTTAATTAGTTAAACACTATGCCATGAAGTCATATGGAGGAGTGGAGGTACAGGTCCACCTTTCTTGCCCTCAGCACTAGATGGAAGTTAGTGGTCAGCTTTGCGCCCCTGCCGCTTTACCCCTGGGGAAAGAGCCCCAGTACCCATTGGACAGAAGGCTGGGTGGGCCCCAGAGTCAAATATTAATAAGTGCAATATCATTTTTCTGACCTGTTAATTGATTCTCTTTTTATTCTATACACATAATGTACTGAATTTATTTTGCTATAATTTCTTTATTATATGTATCATTTTATCTACATTCTTTAGTCTTGATAAATACAAGAAATTAATTTAAGTTCATTAGAACAGTAGTCATTACATAAGTAACAGCTCCACTAACTTCACTTAGTTCAGGGCTGTCCAATTAGTAACTTCCGATCCACATTTGGAATCCAATTATTAGTCTTCAGTTCTGATGCAATATTATTCAAAGAAAGCAAGTTCCAGCACAGCTGAGTTATTTACAGTTGTATATTGAATTATCCTGTTGTGTTACTCTGTTCTCATTAATGTTGCCTGTCTTTGAGAGTACGTAATACTTTGAACTGGCAATCTAAAGGAAGAAAACTCTTGTAAATTCAATGATATCTCCAGTATGTTGATTTTGGTGTCCATTGTATGTTGAAAATGGAATATAGTAACTTCATAATGATGTAATTATGAACATAACTGTTTCGTGATGACACTCTGTCAAAGATGTTCGAGGCACAGTTTAATCTAGTTTGTGTACTGTCAGCTTGAAACTGCTCATGATTGCTATGACATATGGTGTGCTACTCATTGATATATATTAGGGAAAGTTCTTATATTAATTTTGCAAAAAACTATTACGTGAAACACTTCACATAGTGGTAAATTTGTCCTGTGCTTATTTACTTAAGTACTATGCTGTGCACACATGGGGGAGTGGAGGTATAGCTCCATCTTTCTTGAACTCAGCAGTAGATTGAGGTGGGTGGTTAGCTTCATGCCCCAACTGCTTTACCTCCAGGGATAGAGCCCCCAGTACTCATTGGATAGGTGGCTTGGTGGGCCACAGAGTTGGTCTGAATGCTATGGAGAAGAGAAAAATCTTTCACTGCCAGCAGTCGAACCCAGGTCGTCCAGCCTGTAGTCCATCACTGTACTGGCTGAGCTGTCCTGACTCTTACATTGAAATAATTCAGATGCTTTTTTTCAATTGGTTGTTTTGTTATTACTCTAATAAACTCTCGATTTTGTGACTTTCAATGTTGGTCATTTTAAAGGAAGTGTAGGTGAGGAGAAAATATGACAAGTTGTTAAAAATAAGTAGGGGAAATGTATACAAGCATGGAGTACACATATTTTCAAATATACTCTGTTTGCTTTTGTATACTTCATTGGCCTTCGTGCTCCTTTATTGCAGATACTAATCTCTTGTTGGAGAAAGAATAAATAGGCTAGATAATGACACTTTCTTGAGAGACAGATTATTGTCCATGTATTTTGTTACTTATGCATTATCGCAAAAAGTGTTTCAGGTAAACTTACAAACTGTAATGATGTATTTTGCATTGTGTACCATTCTGTTGTATGATGAGCAGTTTTTGAGAAAACTGATAAGTTTTATCGTTAGACCTCTGTGTAAAGTTAACTGTGTAGGAACAGTATGGACCAAAATTAAATTGTCCAGCAATTTTTAGTGCAGATCCCCAATACAAAATTTGCAGCCAGTTAAGGTAACAATGAATGCAAGGAAAGTAACAACTCATGTCACATGCATGTGTGTCTCCAGAGGCTATACTTTCTTTTGAGCTACATTTTGCTGGTCCACACTGTTAATAATGAAATATTTCAAAGATCCAATAAATTGTCTATTTGGGAATCACAACGAGAATGAATTCCTCTTACAGTTTTTTAAGTGAACTTCATTTACTGATCTGTGGATGACTAGCAACTGGACAGCCCTGCCTTGGTTATATCGCCTTTGAGGCTATGACTTAAAATTAGCAGCAACGAGGAGCTTAAACAAAATCTTCAGTTGCTGACAAGTCAATTTAAATCTTATATGATTTCCCCCTCTAGCATTATAAATATTAAGAATAATTTATATTTATTGATACATGAATGACTGAATCATTGTTACCTTGATCCTTTCGCTACTGAATGTTTGCCATGATACCTGTTGTTGTATGTGGATTAATATGTGATATGAAAGATTTAGATTTAACAAAAGAAAATAAACAGACTGTTACTTCTAAGCATACATAATAAGCCTATACTGACAGGGTGTTACTACAACCACTGATTGTCTGTTGGTAGTAAATTAGTTATATTTCAACATTGCAGCCAAACAATACTAATTATAAATATTTTATATCTGTAGTGCATTAATGACTGGTCAATATTTTAATTTGTAATACAAAAACATATTCATAAGTGTACCCTGATTGTACTTTTTAGGAAAACTGTGAATCACTATATGAAAGAAAAGCATATAAGCAAATTTTTATGTGCTGCTGACTTTTGTAACCAAATAAAATATGTATTATATTATTAGAAACTAACATTTTTCAAAATAGTGTAGAAGAATGAGAAAACTAAAGCTAGAATACCCTCAGTATCACAGGAAATAAGAACCACACAAATGTATAAATTTACCATTCTTACACTTGTAGAGTGTAGCTCCAGCAGATCAGTTGATGAATGCAAGGAAGGACCTATAAAATAGTTTTCTTGTGTGGAGTTATGTGAATATCCTGACATTTTTCCTCCACTCCCATATTTAATTTGTTCTCAGTTCAAAAATGATTCCATAATTACAGCGCACTGACACTGATATTTGTACATATGAATAAAAACATGTAAAGTGGTATATTTTTTGTCAAAATGAAATAAATACTATGTTACATATTCCTAACAGACTTAAATAGGAGCTTCATTTACTCTACATAAGTGCCTTCGGTGTACACATATCATTATATGAGATAGATCTTCATAAGAACAGTCCATATTCAGTATGGACTTTGCTGATTTTGTACCCTGCATCGCTTCAGTTCTTCAGCATTATAACTAAATTTTAGCATGTATTCATTTGGTGAGGTGCACATAAAAGGTAATAGAAAGAAATCACTAATTAATGTATTCGGTTAGTGGCTAGTACTGTAGTCTTGGCTGCTGTGTCAGTTTCTACCTGTCATTCCAGATTTCTTTACCAGGTCTTCCCACATTCTTAAAACATTAAATTTCAGGCGGGCTTTGCTTCCATCTCTTCATCCTTGCTGCAAAGCATACAGTTCAGCAAATCAAGAGTTGAAATTCCAGACAGATGTCTAGCAAGACAGAAGTCTAAATTTTGTAATAGCTACCCTTCGAGGGATTTGAAGAATTAATTCATACTTTGATCCTCTGGGTTATGACACCATGTAGTCTGGTAGATGGCTACTAACATTTGGGGGAAACCTACTGCCTCCATCTTCACTGTCAGCATCCAGTGATTGGAAGACAGTAAATAGTGCATTAAAGAGGATATGGAAAGAAGCAGTCGTAGCATAATTTTAAGATACTATTGCAGAATTTACCTGGAGGGAGTGAAAGAACTCATGAAAAATCTGTCAGAATTGGTGTCCCAGCTGAGTTTCAAACTTAACACCTGAATACTGTCATGTTTATTAGTGACTATAGATGGGGTTTGGGTTGGTGAATAGATTTATTGACCACTTACAGGTCTCAACTACAAATAACTATAACACTGTTGCTGATTTTCACACTACAAATCACTCCTTAGTCTCAGTCACTCAGTCTTCTAAGTCTCCTTTCACTAGTCTTTACTTGGTAACAGCTCTCAACAATGGTTGTTACTCTGCATTGTTCTTACTAGACATATCATGGTAATGAATCTTAGCAACAGATTTTTCAGCTTCTGTTGCCTGCCGGTTAACATTCCACAACTGAACCTCCAACCCTGAACTCCACCGATCAGGCTCAACTCAATTCATGTCACTTCACCCAACTAACTCGAACTGGACTCCTCCATTATCTGCCAGCTGCCAACTCCAGAGACTCTCAATTCAGTTCTCTGCTGCAACTGCCATCTCTTCTCACTTATCTTCACAGAGCTCAGCTCTCATCTAACTGCTCACGTGGAACTCTGGAACTTGACTCAAGTTTAATTCCAACTGCGTGAGATCCTTGTTATATAGCCTCAGGGCTACCCCCACAGAAAACACCGCTTCCTATATTGTTTTGTGTTGATTCACTGCTGCAGAGACGTGTTTACCATATCGAGTATGGCACAGACCACAGAAAGCATCGCTCTTTTATTGTTGTGCATGTTTGCTTTTGTGGGAATGTATTTTACAGGGCCATTACCTAGCAGTGAACTCTTCTGGATTTCAGACGTCATGTGACAATACAGAATGCAAGCATTACCACTTGAACCACCTTGCTTGGTTACATAATTATGAAGCTTTACTTCTGTTAAAACCTCAGATTGTACATTGTTATAGGATTTCATCATGCATATGTCTTCTATAGCAGGAATGACCAACGCGTTGATCGTGGGACGATTTTTGGTCGATCTCATAAAGAAATTATACACGAAAAGCATGTAAATTCACTTGTAATATAATATGATTATATTCAGATTTTGAAGGGAGAATACGTGTTAAAGTAGTCTGTACTTTCAGTGTATGTTGCTTTTACAACAAACGTGTTTTGTGTTATTTTTGCTTAATGCGAAGTACAACGATAGGAGGGGGTGGTAGATCACTGAAAGTTTTGACACTAAAAAGTCTTATCACAACCTGTTTGAAGTTGGACATGCCTGTTCTATAGTATCCTATATCAGATCTTATATGTTGATGAACAAAGTTTTGTTTAAATAAGATTTTTCCCATCTTGATTCATTTGCTGTCATGTCATTTTCTTTGTTATGAAGCATCTGGTATTTTAATTTTAGAGATGCAAATGAAAAATTTCTTCTTTAAGCCACTGGAGGATCTTAAAAGCTTTCTTTAACAGTGAAACTGCTT